TTACTACAATGGAGATACAAGTAAAGAGGATAAGGCTTATTATTGTGTAGCAGGAACTAGTTAAGAAGCAAATTATGTTTATTATGGTTTTGCTGCTTTTTCTGCATTAATTGAAGCATTTCTATTTTATTAGTTTTAATTATAAATACCTAATCATATTGAAAAATTAGATATAAAATTAGAAAAGGTTGACGAAGAAGCAGAATTTAAAAGAGAACAAATAGCCAATTAAGGATAAGATGTCAAAAAAAATTAAATAGCTCCATAATTATTTGATAGAGCTAAAAAAACATACATGGATGTTTAAAAGGCTTTTTAAGTGCAATAGAAGAAAATAGTAGAATCAAAATTCTTACAAATATTCATGGTTCTTTTAAACTTAGCGTTTTCATAATTATATAAATTTGATCTATTTAATGACGTTGTGTTTATCTTAACTTGTTTTTATTGTGATGAAAGTATACTTTTTATTTTAACTTTACTTATCACATCAGTCACTTAAGGAATTTATATACTTTAGTTTTTATATCTGTTCTATATAAGATTAACTTAAACAGAAACAACAGCAAAAATTATATCAACTAAATTTATAAATGATATATATTAGATAGCATTTTTAGGAAGAAACCAAGCTCTGAGTTAATAATTAGATAAAGTAGCACCATATAATATTTCCGTAATTCCTAATATATGGTTAACTAGAACTCTTATACCAGATTAAGCAGGTAGGAGTATGAGTAATCCAATTAAAGCATATTTTATGTAGTTTATGCTTGAAGACATGCCTTAAACAGCCTTATAAGCTTATTTTGTTGTCAAATAAGGTTTAAAAACAGGAAGTCTATCTTCGTAAGTTATTTTCATCATAATAATATCTATCTACAATTTCATGTCGTCATTTTATCTGTAAGTTTTATAATATATATTTTAAGCTTTATGTCAATAAGACCATCTACTTTGAGTTAAGATGATTTTGATAAATTATCTAAGATTAAAAAGAGTTAATACTTAGATATCAAAGAATAACATTTAATTGAAGAAGAAAAATAATTGAGGATATATACAGAAATGTTCACAAATTCCTCAAGAGTAGCCTCACCTATAAAATAAAATTTAGATGAGGAGCATGAATAGTTATTGTGAAAGATTATTTATAAGAAATTGAATATTATTTGTGTTAATCATTATAAATTATATATTTAATAATAATCGTTTCTATATGAAAACGGATAGTTGATTTAAACTGATTAAGTTGATTGATGAAAGAGTATAACAATAATTAAATTAATGAAGATTGCCATATTGCTTATTTTAGCTGTTTCACTCAATGCAGTTTCAACTGACTTGAATAGATAAGCCTAAAAACATGTTGATGCCTTAATGAAAACTAATTGGGGATAAACAATTTTATAATTGGCTGAATTACATGCACATACAGGAGGAGTTTTATAAGACTTAGTAGGAGCAATTGAAGAAATGATTTAATAAATGTAAGATGAATTAGATGAAGTTGAATATAATTATGGAGTTAGAACAAATGAACACAACTCATTGTCATTATAATATACATAAGAAGTTTAAGATGCTGATATTGGTATGATATTTATATTTAAATAAAGATATCTAAAGAAGTGCTGATACATTAGAGAATTTACTTTATCCAAGAAGAGAATAACTTAAAGGAAAAATCTAATAAATTATTGATTATTAAGAATTCAATAGAAAAACTGTAGATGAAGAAACTTTGATTAGAGAATAAGAACATGAAGCATTTGAAGCTTAAATTGCTGAATTCAATGATGCTGTTGGTGCCACTGATGATGCATTAAATTTGTTGAGCACATTAACCAATCCATCATTGGTTTAGATTCAAAAGTTCTAAAACAATTTGAGAAAGATTGAAGCCAGAATTAAACCACATTCATAACACTAAACTTTAATTAAGGCTTTAATTACATTGGCTTCAGAATAAAACTTCTCAGATTAAGGAATCATCAAACAAATCGTTGACAAATTGAATGAATTCAGAAATGCAGTAGTTGATGCTATTAATGCAGCTACAGCTTAAGAAGCTTAAGATGTACAAGATTATGAAGATAGAATTGAATAATTAGATGCTGAATATGCTGAATTCTAAAGATAAATTACTAAAATTACAATTGATTTGAATGCTACTTAAGGTAATTCTATATTTATAATATTAATATAGAAAAAATTGAATAATTCTTATCATTCCAAGCTTAAAGATAATCTGACAGAAATACTGCTTAAGCCTTACTTGATTTGGAGAATGAACAATATGCTGATGACACTTAAATTTATACTGATTTAAAGAATAAATTAATCAGAGATATTCAAGTGACTGAAGAAGCATTCAGTTTAGTCAAGAGTGTTGACTTTAGCAAAATCAAAGTCTGATTTAATATTATAATAATTATTAATGGATATTTCTAGAAATAAATTTTAATTTTTAGTATAAAAGTAATAGTTATATTTCATTAGAATTAAAAATTAATTTGAGGTAATTAAATGCTCAGCAAATTATTCAGACCATCATTAAAAGTGAACTAACACACTGTGAATGCATTCAGTAGCAAGGTAATGAAAGGAGAATATGTCATTGGTATAGATTTGGGAACAACTAACTCATGTGTATCCATAATGGAAGGTATCTATAGTTCTAATTCTTAATTAGCTGGTACACCAAAGGTTATTGAAAATGCAGAGGGTATGCGTACTACTCCCTCAGTAGTTGCCTTTACTGCTGATGGATAAAGAATAGTTGGAGCACCAGCTAAAAGACAAGCTGTAACCAATCCAGAAAACACTGTTTATGCCACAAAAAGATTGATTGGTAGAAGATATGATGATCCAAATGTTCAAAAAGATATTAAACATTTGAGTTACTCTGTTATCAGAGCTTAAAATGGTGATGCTTGGGTTAGTTTGAAGAGTAATATCATAATATATTTCTCAAGGTGGTTAAACCTATTCTCCATCATAAATTGGAGCTTTTGTCTTAATGAAAATGAAGGAAACTGCAGATGCTTATATTGGTAAACCTTAATCAAAGGCAGTCGTAACAGTACCAGCTTATTTCAATGATTCATAAAGATAAGCAACAAAAGATGCTGGTAAAATTGCTGGATTAGATGTTCTAAGAATTATCAATGAACCAACAGCTGCAGCTTTGGCTTTTGGTTTAGAAAAGAAAGACAATAAGATTATAGCAGTTTATGATTTGGGAGGTGGTACATTTGATATTTCTATATTGGAAATCAATGCTGGTGTATTTGAAGTCAAAGCTACCAATGGTGATACAAGTTGTGGAGGTGAAGATGTTGATTCAATACTTTCTAATTGGATTAGTTCAGAATTCAAAGCACAATCTGGTGTTGATATTTCCAAAGATAAAATGGCTGTCTAAAGAGTAAGAGAAGCTGCTGAAAAAGCTAAAATTGAATTGTCATCAACTACTCAAACAGATATTAATTTACCTTATTTAACTGCTGATGCTTCAGGACCTAAACATTGTAATCTCAAACTCACCAGAGCTAAACTTGAATCTCTGACTGAAGATTTTCTCAAAAAAACTATTAAACCAACTGAAAATTGTATTAAAGATTCAGGATTAGATAAAAGCAAAATAGATGAAGTTATTTTAGTTGGTGGTATGAGTAGAATGCCTAAAGTATAAAAATTAGTTTAAGATCTCTTTAATAAACCACCCAATAAATCAGTCAATCCAGATGAAGCAGTCTCTATTGGAGCTGCTATTCAAGGTGGTGTATTAAAAGGTGATGTTAAAGAATTATTATTATTGGATGTAACTCCACTCTCTTTAGGTATTGAAACTCTTGGAGGAGTTTTCACTAAAATGATTCCTAGAAATACTACTATTCCTACTAAAAAAAGTCAAACTTATTCAACTGCTAGTGACAACCAAACTGTTGTTTCTATTAGAGTTTTCTAAGGTGAAAGAGAAATGGCTGCTGATAACAAATTATTAGGATAATTCGATTTATCTGGTATTCCACCTGCTCCAAGAGGAGTTCCTTAAATTGATGTGACTTTTGATATTGATGCCAATGGTATTGTTCATGTGTCTGCTAAAGATAAGGCTACTGGAAAAGATCATTCAATCACAATTTAATCATCAGGTGGTTTAAGTGAAGCTGAAATCTAAGATATGATTAATAAAGCTGAAAAATATAAGGATGAAGATAAAAAGAGAAGAGTAAGCATTTTATTCTATTTCTTAGGAACTTGTTGATTTAAAGAATGAAGCTGATGGTGCTATTTTCAATACTGAAAAATCTCTCAATGAACATAAGAGCAAATTATAACCAAATGAAGTTTAAGAAATTGAAAGTGCAATCTAAAATTTAAGAGTTTTATTAACTGAAAATCTTACAGCAAATGATGTACAAAGACTTAAGGATGCAGTTGAAGGTGTTAAAAATGCAGCCATGAAGATTGGATAAGCCATGTATCAATATTTAATTTATAATTTTAGGTATCGAAATACTGGAGGAGCTAGTGAGCAATAATAATAACAATCTTCTGAGCAAACTGGAGAATAATAAAATTAAGAAGGAGGAGATAACAACAACAAATAAAATTGATATATTATATTATTAATGTTGTACAAATCTGTAATTCTATATAATAAATACAATATTCTAAATATATATAATCAAAAATTACTCATTCTAAGAAATCATTATTGAATATTTACTATTATTATTATTCTTATTATTATTATAATTATTTCTATTATTATTATTATTATTATTATTATTATTATTATTATTATTATTATTATTATTATTATTATTATTATTATTATTATTATTATTATTATTATTATTATTGTTATTATTGTTATTATTCTTATTACTATTATTATTATGATTATTACTATTATTATTATAATTATTACTACTATTATTATAATTATTACTACTATTATTATTATTATTACTATTATGATTATTATATCAATTCTTCTTTTAATTTCCACCATCTACCATTACCAATAAATTATGTTACTCCTATCTCTTATAGTCTTGTCCTCAAACCTTTATCACTTGTGACAACTGAGGTTTAGTTATTATTTTAACCAATACATAATTTAACTATTAAATCATCAGCTATTTCTGGATATGCTGACTAAATGCTAAAATTTATAAATTTTTAATTATTTAGAATTTTAAATGTTGTTATTTTATCTTACTATCTTAATTCATGAAAATATTTGAAAGGTTCATATTTAGATAATTTTTATCTTATTTTTTCAATTTTATTCATTTTGTAAACATCCCATATTAAATGAACTTCATCTAATTATTATTCAGTCATTTAAATCCAAACCAATATGATTTTTAATACATTTTTGATTTGCTTTTTAGGTTAGCCTCTAAATTGATTCCATTAATGACAAGCATACTTAATATTATTACAATCAATGTATAATATTTTTGTATTGGATATGATTTAAATGATATTCAATTCGATATATTGCTATCTTGCTTGATTTTAATCATTTAATGATTAGACAACTTGATCAACATTCCAATTGTATCGCTTTAGCAATCTATAATTTTTCTTATGATCACAAAACCCCATGCTTTAAAGTTATGCAAAATGTGGAGTGCCATACGATTGTTATTATTATTATTGAGATTGTTAATATTAAAAATTTTAAGGGTGAGGTTATTTAAATTAAGCTAGCCATTATTATTGTTCTATATAAAGAGGATGGAGATTATTATTTTATTAATTACTCATATTAAAATTAAATAATAAAGACTTAGAATTAAAGTATTTACATCAAGTTTATCCATAATAAAATTGATTCTATTAAATATTTATTAACTATTACTATATAAATAATTAAGAGTATAATATGATGAAAAATATAAATCATTCATGTTAAGTTAATATAGTTTATTAATCTATTACAATTAATAAGTAGATGTTAATAAAAAGTAAAATAGAGTTTGCTAATTTATTATATTTATTTAGATAACTTAGGGATTTATCTCTTCATATAAATGAAGGAATATAAAAAACAAACTATCAATATTAACAATTAATATTTAATCAATTTTTGTAAATTCTAATTTGCTATGAGATCTTCATTTTGCAAATTGGACATAATTACAAATTTTTACTACATTTGAAACAAGTAGAATTATGCTTACAAGGAAGACAAAGTGCATCTCGTTCATTTTCATGACACAATGTACAAAAATTGTATTCATTATAATTTATACTGAATTTATCTAATTGGCAAAGATATTAATTAACTGTTCCAATCCTGATGACAGTCATTTCATCATCTAAGGTAAGTGGATAAATTGAACTGGGTTGTCCATCAGCAGATAGTCTTAACCAAGTGCTAAAAACAATTAATAAATTTAAATATACCCATTAGTAGAGGAATGATCTTCTATAGTTACATTTTTGTCAACTAAATAAAATTTAGCATGCAAATTTGAAAGATGATGATCTTCAGGAAATGCAATATCGGCATTAGCCTTCCTACCAAAATTGACTGAAGTTTTGTCTTGATTAAGATGAAAACTAATTTGTTCTTCGCTGTTTGGTCCTTCAAGAACAAGGAGTCCAAGTTGAATGCCATTGGAGACCTCTTCAAGTTGAGTAACTTAAAACAAATTACTACCAAGTTCAATGAGCATATCTAAGAAGAGATTCATTCGTTTTTAAATTTTTATATATGTTCCTGTAGTGCTTCCTATATCTTTAATATAAAACTATAAATAACCATTATTAATATATATACCTTGGAATCTTGGTAAGTAATCTCAGCATGAAATCTACTAATATTTTCTTCCAAAATAAGAATTTGATTACTTGAATGTCTTCCAATCTTTGCCCCAACCTATTTGACACAATAGAAATTGTTTTATTAACTCTCTAAAGGTTATAGGATGAGTTGATTTTCAATTAAATTGGTTACTTTATTCTAAGAACTATATAACTCATCATATTGATTAATAATTGATTAGCATTATTTGTCTTAACAAGCATTTACATTCTTTTATAGAGTGAATTCTTCATTTGGCTATTTTTTAATGGTATTTATCTTGATTTAACTTAAATATATGCTATATTCCTTCAATCCTGTTGTTATCCCTACCAATTAGATAATGGTTACAATTCATTAACTTTTTTTTGATTATTTTCTAATTGATTCCCAATTCTTCTTCCAAATCGTTCTCTGTTATTTCTTCTAGAATGGAGCCATCGATTGAACAATTCACTATTATAGAATTTTGGATACAAAAATACCAAACTTGTCCTCCATCTAACCTAGTCCAATGAATTAGAGCCAAATAACAACATCAGACACTTGCCATTTCTTGGGTTCTTTAGGCAATAATAAATAAAGAGAATCATAATCCATTTATAAAATATTAATATTCCCTAGCTAATTCAGTTTATTTAGAGAGAAAATAAAGATCATTTAATAAAGGCAACTACAATTGTAATATCGTCTATGACTTCATCCTCTCTTTGCCAAGCATCCCTTGCTAATTAAACCAATTTTTAACAAGCTCCTTAACTATCATCTCTTTTGTAATATTCATAAACAGTCTCAATAACTTATTCATTTGATAGAAATCTAATTCATAATAATAATATATATACTCCCAAATTCCATCTGAAGCTACAACTATAAATTTATCACATGGCAATAGAGAATGCTTAATAATTTCAGGTTCTTAAATTACTCCAACTTAACTAGCTATATAATCCCCAAAACTTCTTGACATTGCCAATCCTGGCACATCTTCATCCTATTTCCAAACTCTTGCTGGTCCTATAGGATTCCCTTCTTCATCACTATAAGCCTATACTCTCCCTCCTCTTTATAAAATTCTAGCTTATTCCAAAAAACAATCTGGTTTATGATCTTTTGATAATTCTATCACAGACAATTTATTATCAAATCTTCCTATAATAGCTCTACTATCTCCAATATTTGCACAATATAACACATTATCAAAAGATAAAACAACTACAGTTGTTGCTCCAGAGTATGTAATATCAATTCCACTATCCATTAATTCATCATTAGTTTACAAAAAACAATTCTTGAGTACTAAATTAATTTATCTAAATTTAAATTTTAATTATATACTTATCTCTTTCATAACATGATGTCAAATGAACAACTCCTTATTCAATAAATTGAGGTAGAACTTCCCTTAAAAATTATGCTACTTAATGACCGTTTGTACCATGTCCATCAGAAACTTGAATATACCAATCGTTTTCTCTGTTACAAAATCTTTAAATTAACTTGTATATATCTTGATTTGTTTTAGTTTATCCATTATATAACATACCTGCAGCACTTTATCCATTTGCTTTTACTATTTACAATTACATTGTAGAAATGTCTGGATTGCTGATCGAACGTGGCCCCTTAAATAATTTTGGTTTTAGTATTAACTATTATTATTATTTCGTCATTTCCATTAATTTTTAATATTTTTTCTGAATAGTTTATTAGTTATAAAGATCTTTTGGTTATTAAATTTAAGATTGTTTATTTTCACATTTATCTTATTTAATTTTAAGTAATAAAGAAAGAGCACTTGTTGATAGATTCTATGAGTTCTCCTTTGTTTCAATTAATTTGCTATTTTAACGAGCATGAGTTTTCTTTAATAAAACACTGCTCACATCCTTTAAATCTTTTCCACTTGCAGGCCTTGACTTTTTTGCTTCTATTTTTGAAGTTCCTCCACCATTTCTGTTACTGGAAACTAAATATCTAATTTTTTATAACAATCACATCTTTACTTATTTGTTGTTACTATAGGTGATTTTAAACGAGCTTATTATTCTTATTCATTTTTCCTTTTTAATAAACTAGCATATAATTTATCTGGAGATATTTATGAAACCTTCTATTTCATCTAATATTTTTGTTAGTTAAATATAATTTATTATTATTATGATTTAAAATGTGATTGATGTAGTTGAGTTCCAAACTACTTCTTAATCACTATTTTCAAAACAAACATATTACACAATAAAAGGATCTGACAAACAAGGAAATTTTGAAGTACAGCGAAGATTCAAGGATTTTGTGGCTTTAAGAAATATTCTGGTTATTTAATGGCCAGGATGCTATGTCCCAAGTTTACCTGGTAAGAAACTTTTTAATGGAAATGATGTAAAGACAATCAATGATAGAAAAAAATTCTTACATGCCTTTTGCTAAAAATTGAGCTAATTGCCTCATCTATTTTAGACAGAAGAAGTGTCACAGATATTTTTAAGATCAAAAGATGAGAAAATTTATAAAAAATTAGAATCTATTAAATCACCTTCTACCTAAGATCTTCTTGAAAAATACTAAACTCTATTTACAGATATATTAAATGTATTAATATATAATTTAATGTAAAGGTTGAGATTGATGCAAGCACACTTAAGGAGATTGACAATTTTGCAGATTAAGTAAGAAATTATAGTATTAAATTAAAAAACATAAAAAAGATAATTAAAGATAGTGTTTAATCAGGTAGGAATTACAACAATTGTCTAGAAGAAATAATCAAAACAAGATTAATAAACTTTGAAAATTTATTTGTTTCTTCATTTGTAAATTCAGATGCATCAATGCTAATTTTTAACAGAATTAAATAAGAATTAATGGAAACATATTAAGAAAAATAAGTTTTTAATTAAAATAATATAGAAATCTTGTTAGATTTAATTAGATTAGAATCTAAGGATTGTAAAGTAAGAATTTATTATATATTATTAAGATTGTATTAAAATAAATTAATGATAAGATTAATTTAGAGAATAAAGTTAAAAGTTTAGAAAATAAAATTATTGAATTGGAAAAACAATTGGAAAAGTTGAATTAGGGAAAGGTTTCTTTTAAAAATATGATTAAATAAAAATCGCCAGAAGATTCTAAAAAATAAGTTGAATAAGAAATAAGTGATATTGTTAAAGAAATAAAATAGTTAACAGAATTAATTGTATTAATTAATAAAATATTGGCATTAAAAGAAAGAAATAGATATGAAAATGATAAAAACTAATAATTTAAAGAAATAATGGAGATTTTATAATAGATGGAATTAGAAAGCATTAAAATAGAATCATAATATTGGGGATACATTTTAAATGAAACAAATTAATTAATTTCTAAAACATAAAATTAATAATAAATAGAGTGTTAAACTAATATGGAATGATTTTTATAATTATAAATGTCTCACAAATATTAATTATAAAATAATTTATATTATCCATTAAAATATTTATTAGATATATTTTAAACTAATTTTGGTAGTATAAAAACAATAAAAGTAGCGAATTTCATCTTTGATTTCTATTTGGAAAAAATAATTAAATTTATTTTACATTCTATTCAAGAAATGAAATTTAGTATTTTAATAATAAATTAACATCTAATTTGAAGTCAATTTATATTAGAAATTTGAAATAGTTTTGAGATTAATTCTTAAATAAATCTTCATTCATTTTTAAGAATATATGAGATATATATTCTATCTTTGAAGGATTGTCAAAAATTTATTCGAGAATTTTTGATCTATATATGTACATTAGAATAAAAATGAATGATTATTTATCAAAAAAAAAGAGTATTTATAGATACCATTATACAATTTAGCTAATGAAAATAAAATTTGATAGCTAAAATATTTCTTCATTATATATTATTTATTATATTTCTTTGTCAAATATCTTCATTTTCAAGTTCTCCTCTTAAACTATCAACCATTTAATCAGTTTGTCTTTGTAATTCTTCTGGTGATAATTCACTTTAACCTGGAGTCTTTTCATATGCTGTTTCTAAATCCCAATTTGGTGCTTATTCCATTTATGGAGTATCAGTCTATTAGAATCTGCTTTCAAATTGTGACATTTCCAAAAGTGATAATTCTTCTGGAAGTAATTAAAGTGGTTAACCATTTTCATCTAACAAATCCAATTTATCAATTGCTCTGACATAATCTAAATTATCATCTTATGGAATATGAGCCATAGGAGCTGTTGGGGAATCTTCAATAAGTGCTTATTTTCCCATATCAGGTGATAAACCATCATTTGTGAATAAATCTGCAAAATTAATTTCCTTTTAAGGAGTTTAATCTAATGTTTCTTCAATGTAAATTTAATTTTCATTATCACTAACTTATGCAAAAGACTTATGATTTTTTTTCAATGCATTATGAATGGCATTTCTTTCTTTTAATCCAGCTTATTCAATTCTGTCTTAGTTTGTTAATGCGTTGACAACAACTTCTGAAGAGGAAATAATTCCAACATTGTTACTCAAATCATATGACTGTCCAACATTTTAAGATCTATATTGCAATTAAACAATTTGTTACTCAATTTGAACCAAATCTTCTGTATGCTTAGTTCCTTTATTTTACTTGTGTTTTCTTATGTTTGCTCCATTTGCTAATACCAAAACCAAGAGAAGGATAGCTGTCAATTTCATTTTTTTTTATATTATTAATCCGTTTTATATTTATATAATATAAATATTGTAATGTAATAAATAATAGTCTTTTGTTCTTTTTATTCTTAATTAAAAGAAAATATATCAGATGAACATTCATCATAGATTAGACAATATAAAATGAAAGAAAATATATATAATATATATTTTACTATTGAAAATTTTGATTTTAATATAGGACTTTATAGAAAACAAGTGAGAACTAATAATAGAAGTGGAATAGATGAACTTAATGAATAAGAAAAAAGAAAATATAAAATATTTTTGTAATTTTTAAAAGAAATAATTATTAGGATTAAAAAAGAATACAAAATTGATCTATTATTTTATTATAGATATCAATTACACAAAAATGAATTCAATATACATTTTTTATTTTATTATGTTAGAGAAGCTCTATCCAATTAAATCATCCACCTTTGTTTATTTATATGATTCATTAGAATTTATATTTTATCTGGAATCAAATTAATTATATTTTTTAAAGCTTTTTCTATTTCACTTTTAACTTTATTAAAATGAACACTAAGTATTATAATGATATGATCATAAAACATGAAACTAACACCTCTTTTATCGTAATGTTCAGTCATGAAATTTAACATATCAAGATGAAATTATATTAATTCATTTGAGAAAATAGTTTTCTTTAATTTAATTGGTTTTATATCAGGACAATCATTCAAATTAAAATCATTATGATAGATTTTGAATTATGATCCAAATTGTTCAAAATCTTCACAATTAATTATTGATAAATGCTCTTTGTGTTTAATTTATACTTATTAATCAAGTTTCTCTCTTAATTATTATATTCTTTTATTAATTAAATCATATAACTATGCAATTTCTTAAGAAGATTTTACAATTGTTATATTATCACTCTTGTTAGAATTAATTTAAAATGGATGTTAAATAACTATACCATCTTAAATTACTTTTATTTTGTATAATTTAGGATCCAAATTTAATAACTAAAGTACTTAAATGATTTCTGGGAAATTATTTTGGATTGTAAACTAAATTTAACATTAATTTCTTAAGTAATTCATCTCTATTTTATTGCACAAATCTAAAAGAGATACATACTTTTTTGGAAGTGGATAATATCCACCTTTTTAATGTACTCCAAATTTTTATCTTAAACTTAAAAAGGGAATAAAAGATGGATCCTATTTTTTTATGATAGTTGATGTTGTTTCATCTTCAAATGAGTTAAAAAGGTCTAGTTTCACCTTCTTAATAGTAGGTTAGATGTTATCACTTATAAATAAGAAATCCTACATATAATTTTATTATTTCTTCCTCTCTCATTAACCGCACTATTTAATTATAATATGTGCGCCTAAAATTATATGTATAATTAAAATTTGTCTATAAATTTTAAAAATATTAAAAAATTGATTTCCATAATCATTTATTAATTAGTATTCAATCCTTAATTGCTTAAATAATATATAACAGAATTAATTAAAAAATTTATAGCATTATATTAAATTCAAGAAAATAATCCTTTTGAACCTTCTTCTTAGATAATGTTTTTCCAAGCTCCTCTATCAATATTTAATTTAATTTCTTATTTCTCTTTTACTCTCTATAATAATTTATTAGCTTTTTCTATTTTTATTGTTTTTTTATCAACTCCTTTAACAATTTCAGTTTTTATTAATTTCTTGGCTTACTCTATTTTTTTTTCTTCATTCTTTTTTATCAATCTTTAATCTATATTATTTGGATCAAATTTAGGAACAATAAGATTATATTTCTTTTTATCAGGCTTCTTTTAATAAGAAATAAAAGCAGCATCATCAGGCATTAATTTAGCAAGAATCTATAATTATTAATAAACTTCATCTTAATAGGATTTGATTTGTAATTAGTTTTCATCAATTTCTTTCTCTAAGTCTTATTCTTCATCAGAACTTTCTTCTATTAAATCTTATTATAAATCTTTAAATTTCTTATTCAATTTTTCAACATTCAAATCATCATTAAATTTTTCATCCAATTTAAATCTTGAATCTCCTTTATATGATTTTTGCAATTCAACTAACAGTTAACCCTTCTTGCCTGTAGTCTTTTTCTTAAATTCGACATCCTTAACATCTCCTTTCAACCATTCGTCAACAAGAATTTTCCTAGCCATATAAATAAATATATATAATTTTTCATATTATATATAAAATTTTAATTTAATATCAACGTATATATTGTTAATACAGAATCATTAGATTAAAAAGTACTTCTTATTTCATTTTTATAGTATTTAAATTAATTTGGTAAAGAATTCATAATCAGTCTATTTAGATTATCAAATACTATGTTAATAGTATATATATTAATAAGTTTTGTTAATATTTAGTATTTCTATTAAATTTATTCTTTTAAATAAAATAGTGTCTCATATTAAAATTTAATTGATTAATTAAAGAGAAAAATAATTACTCTTAATTTAATTCTAGTAATATTTCAATTTACTAGAATTACATATCTGAAAAATTGAGGTGAAAATATGAATTGAAAATAATTTATTACAATTAATAATTAGTTATTTATTTAAATATCATTAAATGAAAGTATTGGGATATTAGTTTTATGACTATCTCTAATTTATTAGATTATTTTGATTCATTTAACTTTTAAACTTTTCTAGATGTTGTCTACCCATTGAAATATTTTTACTCACTGTAGTATCATTTCTAAGTTTAATAATAGATTTTATACTTGCCCTATATTATATTTTGCAATGGGTATTAATTTGTTACATAAGAATTATTAATCTAAAATTAAGTCTTTTGATAACCAGAATCATGATAATCTAATTAAATAGGAGGTCTTGGTTATTAATTCTAACCATATTCTATGTATTAATTAGTATTTATATTTTATTAAATTTGAGCACCATTCTATTTTATATATAAATGATTTTACAACTTAATTTTGTGTGTTGATATCATTATTAATAAATTATTATTGATTCTAAACTACTTATCTATTTTCTTATGTTTAGACTTTTTAAACTTCATCAGATTCAGATTCAGATTCATTTTCTGATGATGATTCAGATTCTTCACTTGAAGAATCATAAATTAATTATTTTTTTATTTATGGGTTTGTTAATAAGCTTTATATTCCTTATTAAGTTCTTAAAAATGCTGCTTAATTTGTATCTTAAGTCCAAACATAATTAGGATAAGGGTAATCAACATAGATTGGTTTAAATATTGGTACCTATACAGGAATTTAAACTTTCTATTATAATAGAAATAATTATTTACTTAAATTCTCATTTCTGAATAATTAATAAGCTCTGGTGGAGGTAACATATTTTAAATTAACGATTATAAATATAAATTAATTATTAAAAAAAATATATATTGCTAAACCTATCAAAAATTATTCATAGAAATAAGTTAATTTTTATTAATACTCAAATTCATTTAAAAGAAGGTTCATGCTCTTCCTTGTATGGAATCAGATAATTACAATTTGAAAAGTATTCTCTAAGAGTTTTTAAAATATTCTATGGATTTAATACCATATCATCGACCCTTACTTTATAATAAAGATCTTTGAAATAAGCATCTTCTAGATTTTTATAACATTGATGATATTAAGGATTTATTTTTGCGTATTCTGGAAGGTACATAACAATACCAGGTTCTATCTATTTAATTTTCATTTTGAATTAATCGAGGAAGTCCTATGCTTAATTTTCTTCTACTTTAACTTAATCTTAAAGTGTTTTTGATCTTTAAATAGATTCTTCATCATCTTATTAGTATTCCTTTTAATCATTTGATTTTTTTATCTTCTTCTTTGGTTTTAATTCTTCTGCCTATGGATCTTTTGAAATAAACTTTTCAAGTTCTTCAACAAAGATTTTCATTTCTTTTGACCATTTGAATTTCTGGTCCTTAATTTTTTCTAGAAGACTTCTCATTTTATGATAATGAACTTAATTGACTTTAACTAATGGTGGATATTGATTACACAATCTCATTTAAGTAGAAATTTATTTTGATTCACTTACAAAATCTTCACCTTTAGACCATTTCTTCTATTTTATCTTAATCCCATCATCTTTAGACTCAATTAATTATCCTTTTTAAAAATCTAATTGTATATCATTTGATGGACTGTTTATATTGGTTGGCTCTTTATAGAAACTCTAAAAGTCAAAGTTATTCTTAATCCTTTCATAAGCTTCTATTAGAAATTTTGGGGAGAATTTTTATTATTTGGCATTTAAGTCTTTCGTTAAAATTTCAGCTACTTCTTATTATAAATCTTTTGGTAACTCTATCAAAGATTTCCAAACAGATTAATTAGGATATGATTAGAGAGAGGCACATCTATTAATACATCCAGGTTTTATGCTTACGCAAGTAATTAAAGGATGATAGGGAATTCCTTTATTGTTAAAATACTTGCGCAATGAGTTCAGAGCTAATTTCATAAACAATTTCTTTAGCTTTTCGTCTTATTGATGACATTTTATAGATTGTTAAATTTAAAGTTCTTACATTATTTCAGATTTAATTAAATTCAATCAATTAATTATTTCTTTGGCTTTATAGTTCTATAAATTCTATTATTTATTTGATAATAAAATTTAGTTTATACTAATCTGAATATATCATCATCATAAAATAGGATTTATTTAATAATTTTTATTTGAGTCATATTAACTGAAAGACATTGAAATATCTAAAATAGAATGTTAGTAATGATACTTGATCTGTGTAATAATAAATCATACAACATATCTATTTTTATTCTTTTGATTTATACATTATGAGATCATCAATGATTGTAATCAGATTGTATTAGATTTTGTGTAATGTTTTTTAATTTCATTCAAAATTTAAGCAGTTGATATCTTTTTCAATTGTAATAGATTTAGAAATTCTATCCCTTGTATTTTATTAGTTTCTAATTAAAAGGAGGTTAAATTAATATATTTCAAAGACTTTAATATTTTGTAATCTTTATTAAATTTCTATTATATTTTATTATATAGCTATTTATTATAAATTTAGTTAATCTTCTTTTAATTGTTAATGTACTTTTTAATCATTTCGTTAATAATAAAGAATTTAAAATTTTTTATTAAATTCATAAATTCTATTAAATACTTTATTTATAGAATTACAACTCATTCTATTCAAAAACCTAAATAATCGATAAATATTGTACATTTTAGGATTTAGAACATACTAATTTATGTGTCTTTGAAATTAAGAATACTTTGATATTTCAATTAAGACAAATAAGTCTTATTTTTGGTTATATTTGTACTAATACTATTAGTATGATTGTATTTAACTTCAAATGAAAATTTTCCATCATTAGAATTTCAATTGGTTACACTAGAATAATATCAACTTCTAATAATATGAATTAGAGAAACAGAATAAGAAGAAGTCTCAATGCTATAATTTTTAATAATATGATTTTTTTCTATCAATATATTTAGATAATTATCATGAAGTTTTGGTTTTCTATTAATTTATATGGTAAACTTTTCTCATCATATTTAATTTCATTTCCTACAAATAATTTAAAATTATATTATACATTAGCTCTTATCTTCTTGAAATTGAAGTATTCTTTATTAGTTCCACATAAGGTGTCCCAATAATAGAAGAAGCTAGAGAAATTTCCAATATTATGTGAATGATGATAATGATGATATTCTGATGAACCAGAGAATGGTAATAATCTATAGGGTGACCAAGAGAACTCATAACCACAATGTCCATCAATAGTTTCAAATACTCTCACAATATACCAGAATCCCAAAGTATACACATGCATATGTGAACCCAGAAATATTGGTCCTAGGGCTGTAGCTGTAGAAGTAAGTATAAATTCTATAGGATGTTAGTACTCTGCAGCAACACTAATAGTATTATAAAATTCATGATGTTTTTTATGAATATGATAGAATCTTGGACTGTGCAAAGTTCTATGTAACCAATAGAATGATGCATCTTCTACAATCATACAAAATGCTATTTGCCATGCTAATTCAAAATAGGATGGGATGCTTGAAGTATCATGTCTAAATTTTTATCCTCCTAAAACACTTCCAATAGTTAAAATGGAAGAAATGGTTGAATTAAGAATCCAATTAAGAAGAACCTTTTTCTTTGTTTAGTTCCATTATTCTTTATTCTTTTCCCATGGCCATGGATTCTAAGAATATGATGATATTTTTAAATTACATTATCAACTTTATATCTTTCAAAAAATGGTAATTTCAAAGAGTAGATGATGTACATGTAAATGTTTCCCAACACATAACTTAAATGTGTTGTACTCAACTAAACAAGTAGGAATATTTTAATTTCTTAAAAATATTATCTTATATAATACCTTCCATACCTTCTAGATAGGAATGAACAAAGAACATTATGTGAGGAACTGTCAAATAAGTTGATAAAGCTATAAAGATGGCCACAATTAATCCATAACCTTATTTTTATTAATTTTGTAAAACCTTTGCGTACATATCGATTCTTATCTTTTTAAATTGCATCATCAATGGCATCTATAGTAGCCAAAGAAGCGATGGAGAGATCACTTTAACTAGATGTTTCCATAAATGTAAATAATAATAATGAAATCTTTAAATTAGAATTAATATCATTTTCTCATTACATTTGTTCTTAATGTTCCATTATTTAAAATGGAAGTAGACATATTTTTAAAAACTGAAGGTTATTCATATGTACCTGGTCCTGGAGTCTTTTCATTATTAGTGAAATCAGACTTATTGCCATACCCAAGAGAGATCTTATTAAATCTTGAAGGTTCAATAATCTAAGTTTTAATCTCATAGGTATTTGATGCAGGAACCTTCTCTTAAAAAGTAGCTAATGGTTTTATTCTAGCTCCAATAGTACAGGCAGGCTATCATTATATATTTTATAATTACTTTATTTGAACCAATCAATTAGGTAACTTCATAAGAGTTAGGACTAGGTCCTTGAACAGTATGAGACATCTTAAATCTTTCACTCTAAGACCAATTAGTTTTTCTATATTAGGTTGGCTATTTGATTTCTTCGTTGAAATAGGCATCAGGAGGTGGATTCTATTCAGCATTCCTTTGAACATATAAAGGAGAAATGAATTTGTTGCCATATCCAAAACCAGTTGATCTGCCTTATGATCCTATAGTATCAGGAATACTGTAATTGAATTCAGTTCTAAGAGTTAAGTTTTTATCGAATCTAAAATAATAATAATAATAATGACCTTTGAGCTTTAGAAAAGGATACTTCAGGTATGCTATGTCTGAGTGAAGAAGAAGATTAATACATTGAAGTTCCTTTACCTTATTCAACCAATTTATGTCTCAATTGTGTTAGTTATAAAGTTGATAGGGTTGATCCATTCATAGCTGAATTGCCAGTTGCTCCTTGAGTATTGGTATTACCACTTCTAACTTTGAATGACAATGCAAAAGTATCTCCAGGTTATATAGGTTCTTAATTAAGTTACCCATTTTCAAGTAGCAATTTATATGTTGACTACATTTCAAGATTGTCAGGAAGGATTTCAGCTTCATAATCATTTACTTTGATTGTAATAGGTTAATTGCCTTCAATTACTGGAACCAAAATATTAATTGGTGATCGATCTAAAAAGCTATTCTAATATATAAACCTGCTTAAGTAACGAGATTGAATAGTATATCATCTTGTTGTTTCAATTCTATTTTGACTTATGAATTGTCTTTAATAAGAAATAACTTCATGTCTTATAATCTAATGCTCATTATGTATTATTAATAATTATCATAAATTCCATAATTTCTTTAAAATAGCCTCAAAAGTCTCATCCTACTACACAGAAGATGAAACATCCTAAACAATATATATAATATTTATACTTAATAAAACTCTCCAAATTCTTAAAATGAAATCACTCTATCAGGATTTGCTTTATTCCAATGAGATACAAAATCCTAGAATACTTGCCTTTCAGTTTTATATCCTTTTAAAACATCTGGATGTTCCTTTACGTTAATCAATCTACCCATAGTCTCCAGAGTTACTTTGCCTGCCTTTTATTCAATAGATGCATAGGCTCTTTATACATAATACAGTCTTTTATCACTCATTTATGACTAATATAATTAGATTATAGAAATACTCTGAAAGCATCCAAAAATTCATTGAATTCTATTTTGCCATTACCATTTTTATCAAATGTTTAGAAAATCATTTTAGTTTCATCTTCTGATAAATTCAATCCAAAATTCCTTAATCCCCATTTAAAATCATTATATTCAACTACACCATCTAAAATATATAATATATAATATAACTATTATTTTAATCCATTTCCATAAATATTTTAGCCAATCCTCTTAATCCATAGGATCCTTTGCTTGTAATTTATTATTTTACTCTTATCATTAAATTCTTAACATTTCTATTGTCATCCATTACAGATTCATCAAATTACTCATTTTATTTTCTAGCCACTTAAAATTTCCATAAATTTTATGGTCTATTATAATTAAATATTTATATTACTCTTAATTTCTTAAAGGAATATCGATGGTTGTTCTCCCTTCCTTTTCAGCTATTAAATTTTATGTTTTATTTAAGCATTAATAAGAATGCACAAAAACTTCTCTTTCTCTTCCAAAATCATTTTAATATATAATATCATCACTAGCTAACCAATGTTAAGTAAAAGAATGTTTAATTAAAACTGTATCATCTGATCTAACTGGTTATCCTTCCATTTCAAATCTTATTTTTGGATCTGCATGTTCAAATTTCCATACTGTATTAAATACATCACTCTCTATTGCACATACTTCTTATTTTCTAGATATCTTAGCACATCTAGTTGGTGTTTGTGGAAGTGAATGAAGATAGAATGTTTTATTATTAGATATTCTAGGATTTGCTACAATTCTGAAATGCTATCCATAATGTAATACATCATCTCCATAATAATTTGGTTCTTTAGTATAAGGAATTATAACAAAAACTGATCTTACTGTAGGTTGTGAAGTTGATGCAGTTGTAATATTGTATGCTTCTTCTTCTATTTTCAATTTCTCTTATATATCAATAGATAGAAATCCTTAAGTCTTTAGATTTTAAAGCATCAAATGAAAACCAAAATGAATGTAATCATCTTATGGAAATGTTAGAGATGCCAATCTTAAACTGAAATTTGTCTTTGTATCCTTCACAATGCTTGCCAGTTATCCATTTTATCTATTTTTTAAATAGTCTTTTTTCCTATATAATTTATGCACAATTTATCACTTTGTTTCATCCAATTCCCATTCTTCAAACCAATTTCCAATACGGGTCTAGAATTTATATTTATGATCGACGTTGTAATTGTGCATTTATAATTAATTAATTTATATTTTTATGAATACTATTAAAATATTCTAATGGAATACATTAGCAGATACTCTTTCAGATGCTTTTCCACTTATCAATAAACAATTTCTATAGTGGAATCATAGATCATAATTAATTGCTTAATTTATAAAACATTATCCAAGTGATATATACTGTTTTGAAGAAGTTGATCACCCAGAATTCTTTGAATAAGTTCTTTAAGATCATCTATTTATTTATTAAAAGAAACAAAATAATAATGATGGCATACTAATTGCTTATAGAAAAGACTTGAAATTATAATCTGTTAACATAATACCATTTCTAGAAAATAACAAAGTTTCTAATTAATTCTTCATCAAGGTTGATTTTCTTGATTTTGTATTGATAGTCACTCATCTTAAAGCTAAAACAGATTTTGAAAAGATAAGAAGGAATTAATTAGAATAAATTAATAAATCATTAAAAGAAGATAAGATTATTTTATGTGGTGATTTTAATACTCAACCTCAATTAGAGGCAGTTTCTAATTTTATAGAAATATCAGGAATGAAATGTACTAATACAACTGTGCCAACTACTTCTAAAAATAGAGGAAAATTAGAAACAAATATAAAAGATTACATTTTTTATAAAGGAGTCCAATTAAAATAGAGTTAAGTAGGTCCAACAGATGGTGTAGAAATAAATGAAAATGGATTACCAAGTTAATAATTTCCATCTGATCATATCTTTTTAATTGGAGAATTTGATATCTGATATGGTATAATAAAAACATAAAAAAATAAATAAGATTAATTTTATATAAATGTACTTTGAATAAGAATGTAGAAAATTTTTGAGACCTCGTAGATTAGAATATCAAATGTTTGATTTGGGTATGTATTCAGAATTATTCAAGGTCCTGAAAGACTCTCTCTTACAAATGGAACACTATTCAAACATGAAATTAGTATTATAAATCGTTAGGGTCATCAATTAAAATGCTCTTTTTTTGAGATAAACCCAATAAGTGACTGTTGTATAATCTATTGTCATGGTTTTAATGGTTGTCGTGTAGAAGGTGTTAAATATGCTCATGTTGCTGCTCAATATAATCTAAATTTTTGTACTTTTGATTTTCAAGGATGTGGTCATAGTTAAGGAGATTTAATTACTTTTGGGTAACATAATTTATTAAATTAGCTATTTAGAATAAAATGATATCACATGTATCATATTAGATATTAAAAAAAGATTCTAATAAAATTAATTTATTTTATGGGGAAGATCATTGGGAGCCACTACTATTTAGTTAAAGAAATAACCTTATGTAAGTGGTTACGTATTGGATTCATGTTTTACAGATCTTAATAAGGCATGTGTTAGAATGATTTAAAAATCTACTTCCTTACCAAAGTTGATAATAAAAAGTGTTTTATATCTATTGAAAGGTATTAGTAAATATAAATAATCTAGGGAAAATTGAATCATAAGGAAATTTTAAATTTGATGATATAAAAATACAAAGGGCTGATTCTAGTGTACCAACTCTCTACATTTGTAGTGATTAAGATACATTAATTAAATCCAAAAATACTATTGGATTATATTAATAGCATAATGGTTTAAGAGACCTTATTAAAATCTAAGGAGAACATAATGATTCCCGATCTCTCGAGTTGATTAATCAAATTTGTTGTTGGTGTAAAGAGCGATTCCAAATACATCGACAATTCTCATTTCATGAAACTTCACCAATAGAAATTCGAAAAAAATATTAGCATTTAGCAGGAAGAAATAGTCTAATTCGTACTCCTTCAGATATTGTAACCAAGTACGATATAAACAGATAAAATCTCAATCATTGTTAAACCTAATCTACTTCAGTACTCAAATATAATAATCAACATATTATACAACCTAAAAAATTATATTTTCAAGAATCTCCTTAAAAAATTGTTGGTTCATAAACTAAAATCTTAAAATAACAAATGAGCTATGAAATTGGGAACAGCAACAAATTTATTCGCAAACCCATATTTGATTGAATAATTAATTATATTATATATATTGAATCAGAATTTTGGTTACTCTAAAATCGGAAGTCTTTATAAATGTTTCAATGCAACATATTTAGAGATATCTCTGGACTCATAAATACTAATCTTACAGACTTTCCTATTTAGTTTTTTCATTGTTTCCTTTATCTCAAGGATGATACTCAGAAAACTCTGTTAAATTATATAGTTTTTAAACACTTTCGAAAAGTTAAACAATTATTTATTACTATTAATTATTTATAAAATTAAATAAATATATTAGGATTTAAAAATAATGAATTATTTAATTTTCAGGATCACAGATATAATTTCAATTAATTTATCGCTCTTCCTAAAAACATGTTATAAAAATTATATTAATTTGATAGACTCATTGATACAATATTATATTATTGTAACAGATTATAATCAGTTATTTTATTCTAGTTTGCGTTTATTGTTTTAATGATTTACACATTTTCAGAATAAATTTATATTATTTGCTTTCTCTCTGTATTACTTATGATTAAATTAATTGGTTTTATAGAGTAAACTCTTTTAATTCAATTCAATAACCAATTTATCATCTTTATTATACTTTATTATTTTTATAAAAAACTTTAAGGTTCAAATTAAAATCAGAATGAATGTGTGCATCTAAAAATTAATCAAAATCTTATCACAAATCATTAATTAATAAGAAAAAAATCAATACATATTCCCATAAGAATTAATCCTGATCTTAACCATATAATAACAATTTTTGGCTTTGTCATATATTTATGGGGCTTCAGAATTTTCATATTTAACAATTTTTATTGCCTTTGCTAGACCATAGATATATATTCCTTCATCAATTTTAGGTTCATATTTAACTCTTATAATTGCCTTCATATATATACTAAACTTTATACCTCTACTTAATTTAAAGTATACTGGAGCAATTGGTTAATTGTTAAAATGTGGTATGCTTAACTTTTTCTTTGAAATTACATCTGGTCCATTTCAAATATTACCGCATATTTTAATTATTCTAATATCATTAGTCAATTCGATTATACTTGAAGGAACATTAAATATTAAAATAGTAAACTTTCAAAAAATACAGTTGTCATTTTAAGATGCAATATTAGTAATACTCAATATTTTGATAATGATCCTTTTTAAATATACTTCCTCTCAAATAGCCATAGATATAACTGCTTTTTGTATAATTTTTTTCTAGATTATAAATTTAATTATGGGACAACCATCCATTTCAATAAAGAATAAGGCTTTTTTTCTAACTATAAATGTTTTTTCTCTCTATTTTGGAATAATAAAGAGTTTTGATTTAATTAATAACACTTAAACAGAAATGATTATGATACCATTAATTTTTAGAATATCACTATTTGCCTATGAGTAATTATTTCGAACTTTTAGATATAATAATATAAAAGGACTTCCTACATCTATAAATTAAATAGTATTATTCATAAAAAATATTGAAAATTATTCTTAATTATAAGTTTAGACTCCAGTAAGCATTGAACATTAAATTATATTTTCAACGATTAAAATGGCCAAAAATCAAAATTATGTTGCATATAAAGATTTAGTATCGCTATAATTTAATAATAATATTTTATTGAATTTAAAAATAAATCTAATATTATAATAATGTTTGAGAAAAATCAGTTATGATACATAAAATTACAGTAAACCAACTAATAGTATTACATTAATATCTAAGTAGTTAATAGAAAATGAAAATTAAAATTTTTAAACTCAAATAAATATTATTGAATTGCTTCATGATAAAATTGAATGTATGAGATTATTAATAGAAGAAAACTATTTATAAAAATTTGATCATTTATTAAAATATATTGAAAAACTCATAAATCTTTAAAATATATTAGTGAAATAATATGAAACATTTCCATGTGAAAGAACATAAAGTGTATTAGGTTTTTTTTATACTGAATTGTTGAATGATTATTTAGCAACAAATTAATTGTTCAGTGTATTAGCTATATCAGATGAAAAAATGAAGAAAATTGCATTGAATTAAGATGTCTTTAATAATAAGATGATTTATTTAATTACTGAATTTAATGGGAAAATGAAGATAAAATTTTCATCATATGATGCTGATTCATTTTTAGGTATTTCAAATGAATCACTTACTAATAAAATTATAGATGATTTAATTCCACCAGTAATTAATGAAAATCATGATGAAATGGTTATAGATTTCTTAAAAAATGGAAAATCAAAATATCTTAGATAATTATAAGTTAACTTTTTGTTTTATAAATATTAATAATATATGATGGAAATAGATTTTGCAATTGAAACCAATTTAATTTAAGAACTTAATTTCATTGTATTTATTTAACCTACAATGAGTTAAGTTCTATCTATTATTTTAGATTTAAATTTCACTATTGCTTGTATGAGTAAAGCCTTAATATAAGAATTAGATTTGTAAGAAAGTATTAAATTTTATTTGGGAATGAAAATTTCAAAAATAATCCCTACATTTCCAAATATCATTTTAGATAATCATTTTATAGAAAATGCTGAAGCTCATTTTGAAAATTAAGATGTAAGATAAAGTTCAACTTCTAGAGGTCATCCTTATCATACATCTTATTGTATTAAAACAAAGAAATTAGATGATAAAATTGCATATTATTATGTTTAATTTGAGTATTTCAAAAAAACAATAAATAATTAAGTTTCTAGTTACAGTGATTCTTTAAACACAACTCATCATTTAATTTTAGATTATATATATGAAGATAATGTTAATGAAATATGTGAAGAAGCTCCTGTTGAAATACCTATTGAAGAAGATGTTAAAAGATAAAATCCTTAATAAATTTATGGAGAAGGTTTATGTTCAGAACAAAGTCATATGATTAATGAATTTAAATTTGAATAAACTAATATTAAAAGTACATTTAGATGTAATTAAACACTTTTGGAATAAAAATTTTATTCTAATGTACACAAAATTCCATCAAAATTGTCTAACTAATTGATTTCTCATAAAAATGAGAGTTATATTCATGATGAAAAAGTTAAGATAGATGGATGTTAATCATCCTAGATTTCTAGTCAATAAGGTTTAAAACGATCAGAATTCTATAAAAAATATGAGTTATATTCAAAGATTAGATTACAAGTTGGAAATTCAAAATATCATAAATTATTTATTTTTACTTTTACTTTTAGTATAATTTCTTAAGTGATTATTTAATCAATTGTAAATATTTTTTATTAATTTTAGTAAATAGCTAAATTAAATATCAATTTATAGCTTTTAGCTTCTGATATAGACTTATTGTAGATAAAGAATCTTGTATATTAACCATTTGAATCATTTTTATTAACTAGATGGACTATATTTAATTATATATAAATGTAAGTCACAGGAGAAATAACATAATAGGAATTCAATTATCTTGTAGAGTTTCCTAGGTAGAATCTGAATTTAGGTTATGATTAATTAGATTCAAATTTAAAATAAGTTTTGGATAGAATAAGTGTTTCAGGTTTCTTTGAAAACAAATCTCTAGATATATATATTTATGTTTCTACAGGTTAAGGGGAACTCTATAATTTAACATTAAGAAATAGTATTTAAATATTGTTAAACTATTAATATGAAATTAAAAAGAGATATTAAATTGAAGGAACCATAATTTCAGATAGTCCTTATGTTTATTATTCATATAAGAATTATTTAACAATGAAATCAGAATTTAATCAATTAAATGAGTAAATATTAAGTAATACTATTGCCAAATCATAATAAGAATAATCATAAGAATAGTTAATTTTTATTATTGCTGTAGGAATTGCTTTGATTTAATTTTGTTTATCTTTAAATTATTTTCTTTAAATTTAAAGATTAATTAATAAGTTTTATGGTGTCATTTAAAATATGGATACTGAATACACATATTAAGAAATAACTAGATTAAAATTTATATCTGGTCGTTTGAATAAAAATACAAATCCATTATTTAGATTTTAAATCAATATTGAGTAAAGAGAAAAAGAATTTTAATATAAATCTTATATTATGAACATAAAGAAAAAAGTATTACATAGACCATATTATTTGAAATAGTACTTTGTTTATTATTTGTATATTATTTTTGTTTTAGTGTTAATGATTGGGAATGCTTTATTAACTTATGAAGAATGTGGTGAATATTTAAGTAAATATCCAGAAACTGCTTAATTTTTCAAAGCTATTTCAGATGTGGGAACAGATATACCAACTATGTATGCTTAAAGAGATATCCTTTATAATATTGAATTAATAGCTCCTTTTTTAAATGATACTGAAAAGTCTAGAGTTTTATTAGAAATTAAAGAATCTCTAAATAGAACTACTAACTTTATAACTTTGGATTTTAATATGGATAAGTAAATTATTTATCTTAAATAAAGCTTAATCATTTCAACAGAATTTAAAGACTATTACAATGAGATTTAGAAAGAAAATCTTTGTAATTTTCTACCTAATTATATAAGTTCGAAATCATCAACTATATGTCCTTAAATTATGGATTAAAATTTAGAAAGAGGTTTATTAGGATTATTAATATATATCAGTAATTTTATTAATACAGATATGGCTATAAATCATTTTACAAAAAAATTACAATAAAGCTATTTAGAATTAGAGGGTGCTTTTTTGGTTTCCTATATTATCAAAGATATAAATACTAGTTTTCATTATGATTTAGTGTCCCAGACTTAGTTTTATATCAATAAAATCAGTGTATAATTACTTATAGATTATTAAATTAGGTGCATAATCTAGTCATTCTTATATTTTTATGCATTTTGATTGTGCTTACATTAACGAAGATAAAGAATAAATTAATTTACAAATTATATTTAGCTTAGAGACTTCCATATTTGATGCCTATAAAAACAATTATATTAAATGATAGTTTTGAGAGAAATTTAAGATAGATTATGCACATTTGAATTTTTAATTTTATATTTTATGTAACATAAATTCGAAAAAAATTAAATAATTATTCTAAAATTAACTATTAATTTATAAAAAAAAAGTTTGATATATTTTTTTAATTTAAAATATGAATTGAGTAAAAAAGTGAAGTATTCTCTTCTCTACTAATCTATATTCATAATATGTAACATTAATTGCTAATTTTAGAAATGTTAAGCAATTAATTAATCAATCATTTTTTATAATAATTAACACTTCCTATACATATATTTATAATAAATTAGATACTTCAAAATCTGTGAAGATGAAAGAAGTTTTTCAAAAATTGACAAATTACTTGATAAGAGTCTACTTAAAAAATGAAGAAAACCAAATAGTTTTTCCACCTTACGTTATATTGCTTTTCAGAGTCCAACAAGCCTTTTTAAGTCTGTCATACATCTATGGGTTAAGTAATTACTACTACATTTATATGATATCTATCTATGCTAGGCCCTAGTAGTATTTCATAGACTCAGAAATTCCATAATACATCATCTTAATGCTAAGTGTCATTTATATATTTACATTACTAACAATAATTCCATATAATAATATAATAGGGATATTTGGATAATTATTACGTAGTAGTATGCTAAATTTCTTTTTTGAAATATCTAAAGGATCTATTTCAATAATTACTCATACTTTATTAGTATTAATATCATTTTCGGAAACTTTGATAATTTCTGGAACTTTAAATGTTTAAACCAAAAACTTTTAGCATACTAGATTCACAAATTTAGATTTAATTGTAGTAATTTTAAATTATTTACTAATGATTTTCTATTCTTATGGATTTCCTTAATCTATTATTGTAATTTTAGCAATTATTTTAAACATATTGAGAATCATAAATTAATTGTTATTTTCATCTTTTAAAAATCTAATAACTAAGACTATACTCTTAACTATTAAAATTATAACATTCTTTTTTGGCTGGTTTTGGATAGCATCATTGTAAATTCATTTGTCTGCTGAAATTGTAATAATACCATTAATTTATAAAATGATCTACACTTACTATTAAAATTAACTAAGAAATATTGTTTATAATAATTAAAAGCATATACCATGCCACATAATCAGCTTATTAGCATTTCTTGAAAATGTAAAAGACATTTAACTTTTATATGTTTCAAAACCAAAAAAACCAAGAAATAGAATAATTTATTCATCTTTTTTAATATATTAAAATAAAAATTATTAAGCATTTTTAGAATTAAATAGTATTTAAGATGATCAATTAAGTTTAATTGAGAGTTTAAAAAAAAAAATAATTTTACAAAAATGTATAAATAATATATAACAAATTATATGTGGAACAAATAAAATTGATAATATTGCTCATACAATTAAATTATTATTGAATAGTGAAGAACAAAATTATTCAATATAAAATGATATAGTAGAAATAGTTTAAAATAAAATTCATTGTCTTGAACAATTTACATAACATTAATCACATAATTCTTATGAGAACTATCATAATATAATAAAAAAGATTATAAATTTCAAAGAAAAATTAGAAAAATAATATAAAGAATTTCCATGTGAAAAAACCTAAGGAATTTTAGGATTTTTTTATGGAGAAATTATGAATGATTATCTTTAAGCAAATTAATTATTTAATCTAGTAGCTATGTAAGATGAAAAAATTAAGAAAATCACATTAAATTAAGATATTTTTTCAAACAAAATGATTTATTTAATTTTAAAATTTGATGGTAAATTGATTATAAAAAGACCCTCAAGTGATGCTGCTTAATTTTTATAATTAACAAATCAATAATTAAAAGGATTAGAATTATCTTATCTAATTCCTAAAGGTGTCTAAGAAGTTCATGATGATTTAGTATTGAATTTTTTAAAATATGGAAAATCAAAATACATGAGATAATTAAATTAATGTTTATTATATAATCATGAGATGGAATGTATGAGTTCAGTAGAATTATTATTTGATATTAATTTTGTTGAGGAATTAAATTTTATTGCTTTCTTATAACCTCCTGCCAATCAAACTCTAAATCTAATATTAAATGAATAACATTTAATTAAATGTATAAGTTAATAATTCATTTAAGAATTAGGAATAGAATAACAATATAAATAATATTAAGGTAATCATATTAATAAATTAATACCTAATTTCCCTAAATATTTTTTTGATAAACAACAAATTGAAAATACAGAAATATATGTAGAGAAACAAATTGATGAACAATCTTAAACATCCAGTCATCCTTTAGTATTCATAACAACTTTTAATTTGCATTTTGGAATTGTTAATGATATTACTAAATATTTTATTATATCTTTTGATTATTTTAAAAGATCTCCTTTTTATTTTTGCTAAAATTAATCAATTTCAGTTCCTTTTATGAGTCCATTAATAAAAAAATAAAATCATTGTTCATTTGCCATTATTAATGATGAAAGTACAATACATGTACCTTATTAAGAAGATGAAGTAATGAAAAATCACTATATATTTTAATTGAATTAGCAAGACTTCAATTTTTTAGATAATACACCAACTATATAAGATTAAAAGAAATAACAAACAAAATTATTATCAACACTTGATTATACTAATATTAAAAGTACAACTAAACAAAATGAATTATTGTTAGCTGAATAAAAATTCTTCTCTAAACCAAAAATTAAATCATCCATATCAAAGTAATGATAAAATATTATTTTTAGTGGAGATCAAGTAATATTTATGTAAGAAGTTTAATCTTCTTAAGTTTCAAGTTTATAAGGTGTTAGAAACTCAAAGTATTTTAGATAATTTGAAATGATTGCAAAAATAAAAGATTTAAATAGTTTTTCTAAATTACATCGAATTTTCTTAGCTTCAATCATTCTTTGTGTTGTATTTTAATTTATTATTCAAACTATAGTAAATATTTTTATTAAATTTAGTAAATAATTGAATTAAATTTCAATTTAAAAGATCTTGTTTCAGATATAGACATTTTATAAATAAAAAACTTTGTATTTTAACCTTTAGAAACATTTTTGTTAACTAGATGGACAATATTTAATTATAAATTACTTAATGATGCTGGAGAAATATCAAATCTAGAATATTAAAATTTGATTCAATTTCCTCTATCTAATTTAAATTTGGGTTATGATTCATTAGATAAAAATTTAAAGTAGGTCTTTAATAGGCCTGCACTTTAAAATTTTCTGGAGAAAACTTACATAGAAATATATGAATATGTAACAACAAATTAAGGAGAGATGTATAATCTCAACCTTAGAAATAGTATAAGTATCTTAAAGAACTTTTAATATTCATTCAAAATGGCCTATGAATTAGATGGAGGAATCATTTCTGATAGTCCATATGTTTACTTTCAATATAAGAATTATTTAACAATCAAACAATAATTCTCTGAATTAAATAGTATAGTTTTAGATTAAACTTTGAAAAGATCACTTCAAATTTAATCTAAACTCTCAATTATTACTTTTATTTGTTTAGGAGCCTTAATTATTTAATATAGTTTTTCAGTTATATATTTTATTCTATTATAAAAAATAGTCCTCAAACATTATTCACTAACTTAATATCTATAAATTCAATATATTGAGTTCGAAATAACTTATTTAAAAAAATTAATAGAAGGAGTGAATTAAAATTAAAATTTATTATTTAGATATTAATTTCGCTTAGACAATAAGGAATCACTTTTAGATAGTACAAACCTTAAAATTTATTAAAAGAAACGTAATATTAAATAATTAAGTATCCTAAATTATCATGATATTTACTATTATTTGTTTTTTTTTATTTTACTATTACTTACAGCTGGGAATGCTTCATTAACTTATTATGAAGGTTGGAATTATTTAGAAAAATATCCAGAAACTGCTAAATTTTATAAAGAAGTTTCTGATGTAGGAACTGATGTACCAACTATGTTTGCTTAAAGGGATGTTCTTTATAGTAGAAAAGCTATAATTCCGTATTTCACTTAAAATGAGTATGATAGTTTGCTAGAAGAAATAGTTGAATCATTAAATAGAACAAAAGCTTTTATTTAAGACGACTACAATTTTGATAAGTACGTGGTTTCTGACTCATTTAAAGGGTTCTTTACTTAAATTTAGAATGATAGCTTATGTGACTTTATACCTTTAGAATTAAAAAATAAATCTAATAATATCTGTCAAATTGTGCTTAATTAAAATATGAAGAGAGGTCTTTAGGCCTTACTTATTTATATTATAAATCATATTACTACTGATATGGAAATTAATCAATTTACTTCAAGAAGTCAAGTAAGTTATTTAGAATTAGAAGGTGCATTTTTAGTATCAAATATAATTAAAGTTGTTAATGATAAATTTAACATTGATCTGATGGATTAAACAAAGTATTTCATGAATCTTATCAATGTAATTTTTCATTTTTATTTTAGATGCATAATATCATTATGTTTATTAATTTATTTTTCATAGGAATCTTAATTATAACTTATATTAAAAATAAATTAATTGAAAAACTTCATATAGCACAAAGATTGACATACATAATGCCATCTAAATCAATCATTTTAGATTCAAATTTTGAAAGGGCCCTCAGATCACTCTTGCAAGATTAATGAAAATTATTATATTCACTTTATTTAAAAAATATAGTTTAATTTACTAATTATTTTAATTAAAATTATTATTTATTAATAGAAATTTTTATTCAGTAAAATTTAAATTACTGTTTCAAGCAATAAATATTATCCAAATAGTTAGAGAAACAAAAGGAAAGTTTTAGTTGATATATAATTATTATAGATATAATATAATAATAATTGTATAAAAAATAATATTACAATTCAAGAAGTAAATACTAATTAAATGGTATCAAAATCAAAGTCATCTCCCATTATTTCTGCTTTATCAACATATAAAAAATTTGGTAATTCAAATATTACATTTGTTTAGTTCAACGATTGAGAACGAATAATTTTTAATTATTTATCATTGCCTCCTAATAATTTAATCAATTTCTATGATGCAGCTAAACCTAATTTACAATCATCAAGCCTTTTAGGATTTACACTCTCCTCTTTTAATCCACATCCATAATCAATTATTTCAAAACGAATATTTGCCTCATAATTTTTAAGAACAATTTAAACTATCTTTTCTATCTTTGAATTTTAAAGATCGAATTCATAAGATTTAATTGAATTGTAAATAATATTAAACAATAATTATTTCAATCGTCTATATATAATATAAATAAATATACCTTATATCTGTCATTATGTATTTATTTTTTAAATTATCTTTCAAAGAAATATTAATCTTCTATCCAATAACTATTTCATCATAATTAAATTAATTAATTAACAAATTAATTGTTTGAGTTATATCAACTTTCTTTTTTTCAAGCTAAATGTATTCATTTAAAGAGAAGACTTCAAAATAATTAAAATTGTTTTGGGTTATTTTCATAAATTGAAATTATAATTAATTGATGAATTAAGTTATTTAACAATTTTTCTAACCTTTCTCAGAAATGTCTGATAATGCATCATCAACACTGTCTTTTTATGAACAAATTGAATTTGTTCTCTTAATAACATTAGTATTTTTTTATTTGGGATTTAAAATCTCAGTAATCGTTTTTTATTGAACAATTATATTTTTATGAATTTTCTAAATTAAATCTGCTTGCAATTTCAAAAATTTTATTGTTGAATTGATTTTTTGAATGTTTTTCAAATTTGTTCTAATTTATCGAACTTACTTTTCCAAATCTCTAAAAAGAAGAGCCATCACTTAACGTTAAACACCATCTACTTCCTTTTATAAATACTATAAATACTTCTTCAAAAAAACAAATTTATATGTAAAAATTATAATTCTATTTCCTGCAATTATATTTCCCATAAAAAACTTTTCTATTTTTTAAATTTGATACTTCAAGAGAACCCTAAATTAATTAAATAGCAGATATGCCAGATATGGATTTCTCAATATAAGCATCCATCATCTTCCCTATAGATTATTAATTAATTTGAGAACTTATAGCTAAGTTCTCATCCAATCCTCTTTGATAATTTATATCCTAAAATTTTGATGTATTAACGTTGATTTGTATCCATTCAAAAAGACTATCTTATTTCTTATCTAGATTATTTGATTCGTATAATTAAACATTTAAATCATTGCTTATTTTTATTTCCTTAAACAAAGAAGATAATTAGATTTTGTTGTCTTATAGAAATTTGCACATTGAATAATTATTTTATGCTTAATTTATGTTATTTTCTAAATTATTCATGGTGTAATAAAATTTACTAATGTAATCTTCACTCTATTCTATAAGTTACTACCAAACAATTTTCTAAGTTGGTGCTTAAATGTTCACTTGTTCAGGTATCAGATGCATAGATGCTTCCTGTCTACTTAATGATCCTAATTCTGGAAGTTATGCTTTTGATTTTGATTGCTCTTTATTTTTAGAAATAAATTTGTTCAGAGATCCATTTAAATTAGTATTACTCTAATAATACAATTCATCTTTGTTCAGTTCTAATAACTTAATATTGTAACGATAATTTTGATATTAAATAAATAGCATTATCATAATGAGTAAAATACTTGATACTAATTACTCTTAAAAATAATAAATAAAAAGACCAACTAGCAATCCGAATTATACAAATGCTTTTATTAATTATGTTACATTGTTTATAAATTTAGTTGGAGTAATACTCACATACTATCCATTACTAAAACCTAGATTATAAAGCCAAAATATTGCTTAATCTTTCTTAATATTTTTTATAAACACAACCCTCACTAGTGCAAGACACCAAAAGAATATTGCTGTGTAATCTAAATCATGATAAATCCAATTTTCATACCTTACTTAATCCCAAAAATTTTCTTTTTTTCCACAAACTTTGCTATTCCAGCTAAGGCCAATAAACAGAAACTAAAATATTATAATGTATCCAATTTTTATTGTAAATAAATTTCCAATCCAATAGAAAGTAGGGATATGATATAATCTAAAGATATATCTAATCGATTAAGCAAAGAATTTGCATTGCTGATCATTAAAAATAAATAATTATAAATTTATTTGAAAATAAGAAATTAATCTTAACTAATTAGTAATATAAGATTTAAATAATATATCTTGCAATTATTTTTAGAATAAACAAGTTCTAATTCTTGTATTTTATTATATAATAAGAATTCATTTTTTATAGATTAAATCAATATCTGACTTTGATTCATTATATTCAAACTGATAGAACTTTAAAAGAATACCTAAAACAAATCTGATTGGAAAATTTGATAGTTTCAATCCTCTTTCTTAAATTGATTTTTTATACAAATTATTAGAATTTTTAATATTTTAATAATTAAAAATAGAAAATATATTAAAACTAAAAGCAAATAAAAAAGTATTAAATAAATGTTATCTTTCCACTCAAATATAAATTTAACTATTTATCTAATTGTAGTTTTGCAATTTTTCATACATTTATTTTCATAAATGATAAAGGTTATCCATATTTAAAATTGCTAAATTCATATATAGATTAAATAAATTATAAAAAAAAAAAATTATATTACCTGATAATTTATTGATTATTTATTATAAATGATCTAAATATCAGTAATTAATTGCTTTGATTAATAATTATTAAAATTTAAGCAGCATTAACTAAATTCTTTTATTTTAATAGTGTATTAAAGAATATATAATTGATAAACTATTTATTATTATTGATTGTGCTATAAATTCTCAGGCAATCTACTTTTTTCTTATCATCCACAAGCCATCATTATTTTTCTTTAATTCAAAATTCACTAAATCTTATTTAGTTTTTCTTAAAAATAAATCTACAATATCAAATAATTCATCTTCACTTTTAATTTTTGATTTTACTTTTGGAAAGTTCAACAACAACTTCAATTGCATATCTAAAAATTTAAATATATAATACATTTCTCTGAATCTTAAGCAGAATGTTATAAAATAAAATCATCCTTAGAATAGTTTTTATCACTATAATAATAATTAATTTATTATCCAATCCCAAATGGATCTATAACTTCTTTTAATTATTATGTGATTTTTGTTGAATTAGTATCTGATTAGGATAATATTTGTTATTATTAAATTTCTTATGATTATGATTATTATTATTATTATTATTATTATGATTATTATTATTATTATTACTATTTAGCATCAACATCTTGAGATAAAACTTTTATGGCTGCTTTTCTTGCTTATGATTAAATGGTTGCTACATTAATTTACAACTCTTAAATCTCACTATAATAAATGGACAACTTCTCATTTCTTTTTGTTAAGATTATTAGTTTTTTTCCTGATTAAGAGTTTTCCTCAATTTTACCATTTAATAAATTGCTCACGGTAGGTTCGCATTTTTCAACATCTAGATAACTGTACTTAAAAAGTACTTCATCATTTTTTTCAATTAAAGTAGGGTCATCTTTTAAAGTTTAAACAGGAAGTTTGATAAATTCATTTAGTTTTGTAGTAGGTTTAGTTGAACTTACTTATTGTATTATTTTATCTTTAGTTTAATTTTCAGAAATTTGTGGTGGATTTTATTAAATAGGATTAAATTTTATATTGGATTTTGGTTATTAAGATATTTGCTAATCTGGTTATTTATAGGAACTTTTAGTAAATGTTTTTTTCCATTCTTCTTATTTATTTTTTAACTCCTCTTCTGGAGATAAAATTTTTATTAATATTTTATTTGCTGGCTATGATTTCTTAATAGGTACATCTTCTGACGATGACTCTGATTCTGAAACTATCTGGTTTATTTTTGGTTTTATTTTTTATTCATTTTTTTATGTGGATTTCTGCTAAAATTAATGAGGTTAAACAATTAAATTTGATTTTATTTGTTATGGCTTTGAGTTTTGATTTTGAGTTAAAGATTATTTAATTTTAACTTATTTAACATCTTCTTCACTGCTGCTATCTTAAATCTAAATATTAAAATTTATATATATATTTACTTAATTTATTTGCTTCTACTTTAGTTTTGTGTCTTTTTAAGCCATTTTAGTTGGTGATCCAATCACTTCAACAACCCTATAATATTCTAATAATAATACTGAAGAATTTAGCCATCAATTACTAAATTTTCAACAAGTTAATCATTCAATGCTCTAAAGCCCTCAATGAAGATTTATGGGTTTTGTAAATGGCAAGTCTTTGATAAATAATTACATAAATCTTCAATAGTCTAATTAGGCTTGCTAAAAAGCAAAATATTATCTGTTGAATTATTCTGATAATGGATAATTAATTTAAGTCTCATAATATTTAATATAAAATTATAGTATATATATGATTTCAATTTTTCTATGTTTTCTTTTATATATTTTTAATAATAGTTTGAAGTTTAACTCTTTCTTGATCAGGATTTTCAATGACATCTGATTCCAAAATACTTTCAATTTATGAACTAAATTCTTTATCAAATTCTTAATCATTTTTTTTATAGTTTTTTTTTTCAGTGTAACTTTGAAGTAATTCATTTTATTCGATTACTTATTAATACATATCTTAAAGTTTAGCAATCTCTTTTTATTTCATTTACAATCTCTATTCATAATTTTCTAATATATCTTTTTCAGGAGTCTTATAAGAATCTCTAAAAGAATGAGATAATGGTTTAGAGCTTTATAACTAAATTATAAAATGATAATATTTACTTATTATTTATAGATTTTCACCTAGGTTTCTAATCTATTAATTTTTTCATGCTAAAATTATATACTTTGCTGTTATTGCTATTCTAATATTTCCATTTAAACAATATTTTAATTTAATTGATTAAGTTATTCTTATAAATCAGAATTTTCATTCTACAAAGACTTAATTTATGAAATTTGTGTTTCAATTTATTATTATTATCTTCTCTTATTTTCTGAAAGCTAATTAATTTTTAATTCTAGATGTTTAATTTCCTCTTAATAATTAAATTCACTTTAAAAAAATTATCTATCAGTTTATTATTTTTCTTATTATAATTCTCTATATTATAAATCTTTTGATTATTATATAATATTAGCTTAAGCTAATTATTCTTATAAATCTTAGACTTATAATTCTTATGCTTTAACTGTTGATGTTAATTAAATAACTTCTTATTCTAATTATTTAACAAGAGTTTTTTAATATCTTAATTCTTTGTTAGAAGTTTCAATAGCTGTTAGATTCTAATTATTTACTTAATCAATTTGATCTTATAAACCTTCATTAATTATTTTCATTTTTTCTATTTCTCTATTATATTTTTTCTTTTCTTATTAATGATTTTATATTTATTCAATATAATCTTCAATTATTTATTTTTGATTATTCACTAGTTCTTCTTGTTCTGTATATCTAATTTAATTTTATTTATTCATTTCTGTCTATTCTTCAATCAATTACTTTAAATTCTCAAATTCCTCTTGATAATCTTCCAATTATTTTTTAAATCGCTATTCCATTTATTTTAAAGTTAACTAATAAGTATTTTTTTCTTTAATAGCTTAAAATTAATCTTAATCTTTATTATCAACTTATTATTATAAATCTTTAATTTAAGATATCTACAAAATAATCTCTTAATTTTTTTAGTTAATAGTTGTATTTAATTCTTTTATTAATTACTTTTATGCTAATAATTCTTCTTCAGCTTTATTTTAATATTCTTCAAATTCAATTTATAATTAAATCAACTAATCATTACTTTATTATTTAAATTAGATCTAATTTTTGTTTTAAATTTCTTTAAATAAGTTTTAAAATCTCTCAAATTCTTCCTATTATTTTAAGAATTATTCTTTATATTATTAATCTAATTGAGTCAACTCTTAATTCTTTTAATTTAAAAATAAGATTTCTGCCTAATATTTCTTTTCCATTGATAAATATTATTGATGATTAATCTCTAATTCTTAACCTTTATTCTCTAATTGAATTAATAAATTTTCCTTTGTTTGTTGTAGTTCTAAAATATATGGTTAGAATACCATCCTCTAAATCTGTATTTTATTTGTTAATCAATTTTAATTCATCATCTTATTACTTAATTGTTTATTTTAATTAAGCAATCTCAAGATAGAATTGTTTCATGTTTTTATTCTCATTGGAACTTTTATCCAGTTGTTTCTTAGTTAATTCTTGGAGTTCATTATATTCTAAATATTGAATTTATTAGATATACAAATATCTTTATCTTTTAATTAATTATTTAACAGCATAATTTTATTCTTAAGTTGTGATATTTCTTACTTTAGATGTCCTATCTCACTCTCTTAATGCTATAAAGCAGTTTATTAGTCTTAAATTTTCTATTGAGTTGCTCTTGAAACAGAAGTCTTCTCAGGTGTAGGATTATTTGATTCCTTCAGTTGAGTATGAATCTCATACATCTACTCTAATGTTTCTTCGAGAAGTTATTTGATGATCTCTATTTAGAGACTTAAAAATATATATTATATTATACCCATCGATATTTGAAATCATTTATTCGAAATTTTCTAACAAATTAGTGAACAGTCCTTTAATTTATTACATTAATTAATTTTTATTATGGAATTTAATGTTATGCATTCAAGAATTCCCACATTAAAATGTAAACTATATTTCTTATATTATATTAATTAGAAGCTGAAAGTTCTTTTTAGAGATATCGAAATCCTTTAAATGAATTTCATAACAAAAGTGAATCAAATTCATTTGAGCACAAATAAGGTGAATTCCATATACCTATTAATTAATATATGTTTTTACCTTCTACACCAATCTATCCAATCTTAGGTATTTATTATAATGATTTTCAGGTGAACAGAAGTTTGAAATATTAGATTAAACCAATTTTTTTCATAAAAATAACAATCAAGTAGAATTAAATAAGACTGAGAAAGAAGTAGAATATAAGCTAAATCTAACTACATTTGGATGTAAAAAGACTTGTTAGATAGATTGTTTATTGGTAGAAAGATATTTCAATCAAAAATATTGGGTATGGAAACATTCTATATATAAAGATATTTTAAAATGCTAATTAATGTTACAAACTTGATCAAAGCTATAAAAATAATGCTGACTGGCTAAAAGAAAGGTTATAATATCGTTATAAACCTTAAATTTATGAGGTTTTTGTTGAAATGATAGAAGGAATTCTTAATGAAGGACAATTATAAATGAATGCTAGAAAAGAGCCTATAAAACTTACAAATTAAAAAGTTTTTCAAAATTTGGAAAGATAGATTTCAAAAGGGGTAAAGTAGGATAAAACATTTGATTCATTCCTTTTTGAGATTCAAAAAGTCATTGCTGAGTTTATATTTACTAAATTAAATTGACTTTATTATAATTGTAATATTAGTTATTTTTATTAAATTACTTTGATTATATAAATAAATAAATAATGCTAAATTAGCATTTTTGTGAAATTGATGATGATAGTAAGTTCTTTGTTAATTTATTCTTTAGTTTCTGATGCTACTTCTTTTGAGGAATCTATTTATAAAAGATGTATGACAGCTCCTCCAAGACCATTAACTGATTTGGAGGAATTTAAGAGGTAAATTTATTTAGAAGTAAGAAGATCAGAAGAATATGAGGCCCTTGAAAAAGCTTATAGAAGTTAAAGCTAATTAATTTAGAGAGACTATTAGAAATATGATTTAGACAATCCAGAAGGATAACATAGTTGTAAAAAATTTCTATACCATCTTGAATATATGTGTAAAGTATTTGATCAATTAATCCGCAGGTGTATAAAGTGAATGCAGTATCAAGGGATTATAGAGACACATTTTCAAAAGCTTACAAAATATTATATACGGAAGGTGAGTTGTGTTACTTGACTGAAATTCTTGATAGTGCTTAGGAAGGTAAAAGTTAGTGATTAAAGTTCTAGGTTTCCCTTATTTATGGGTTAATTCTGAAAAATATGCATTTTCAACTGATGTATTGGAAGCTGGAGTGAGATTAGTCGAGGCTTTTTATAAAGTTTAACATGTTATCAGATATACATATTCAGGAACTGGATAAGAGAGTCCTGATTTCTCTTCTTAAAAATTAAAAGCTGAAATTCAATTATTGTTAGAGAATTTTGACATAATATGGGTGAATTTTGAGAAAGTAATTTAAATTTATATAATAAAGTATTATGTTAAGGAATTAATGCAGATAGAAGCAGAAGCAAGAAGGTTTATACTAAAAGCAATAGATATTGATAAAGAAATGATCTCGATTGAAGTACGTGAGAAATTAAAGGGGAGAATCCTTGTGACTTGTGATAATTATCTACAATAAAAAGCTGAAGTAACTCACATACTGAAGCTAGTTATGCAAAGTGATAGCACAGATTAATTCGGTCGCTAATGTTGAAGGTAAAGGAAGGGATGATCTTTGTGTAAATATCCTACTTGAAGCTGAAGGTATAACCAGAAGAGTAACAAGAGAATAATCATAAGCTGTTAGAAATCTTGCTGATAGCATCAAAATGAAGTAGACTTGTTATAATAGTTAAGTTTCTAAAAGTTCAGAGAACAGATGAGAAGATATGAACGTAATATTGAAATGGTCGATCCTCAATTAAAAAATAATTAAGAATTAGTTGAATTATTGATTGAATATGAAACATAATGGGAGAAAGGTTTAAATTATTTATTGGATCCAAAGAGATATACATAATTAATGTTGTTTTCTCATATAATAGAGACATCAGCAGAGAAATATTAATAATTTAAAGAATAATTAGAATGCAGAGATAGTGATATATTTGTAGCAATACCATGTTTAATCATATTAAAACATCTTGAAGATGAAGATCGTAATATTTGTCTTTACTTCTTACCTATGTTAAATGATACTTCCTCTAAATTGCATTAATCATTTATAATATTAAAGTAGGAATTTTAAACTTGGAGAAGACAGCATTCAAAATCATATGAATACTATAATATTATTGAAAAACTGCTTTTAGGAATTCCACAATAATAATTTTCTGAAGAAGAATCAAATTAAATTTAGAAGATTATGCAAAAAATAAAATTTCTTTCAATTGAACTATAAAGGTATAATGCTATAGAATGGAATTAATTCATTGATGCTGCAATAAACAATAATTGATTTATATAATTATAATTCTAATTAATTGAAAATACAAAAAATATATATTTTATTTTTATATTATATTGTATAATTGACTCATCTATCAAGTTTTTTGGCAATAAAAACTTTTTCAATTTCTGCAAATACTTCATCAATTGTAGGTTCTGTATTTATCTCAATAAGTCTTTCATCTTTCTTAAACATTTAAATAATTTAATTTGTTTAATTATTTAATATTTCAACTTTCCTTTAAATACTTGCTTAGTCTTTTTTGGCTAGATTATTATTAATTTTATAATTACCAACATCTGCTGCAATCCTTTTATCAAGTACTTCTTAAGAACATGCAAAACACATAATATATTTAAGTCTAACAGGTTGATTTGTTTAAGAATACCAAGCATTTAAATTATCTTCATTTCTTGGGAATCCATCAATTATGAATTTTCTAGCTTTTGATTAATTTATAGCAGCAAGAATTAATTTAACAACTACTTTTCCTGGAATAGGTTAATTATTTTTTTAACAATCTTTTATTGTTTATGCTTCTTATGTATTCTTTTTAATTTCATCTCTTATAATTAATTTAGTTGATAAATGTTGAAATCCAAATCTTTTTGATATTCTTTAAGATTAAACTTATTTTCCAGTTCCAGGAGCCCCTATTATACCTATAACATATTTTCCTTTGGCAGGTCTTTAACCATTTAATGTAACTGCTAATCCACTTGTTTTAAATACTTTTTTAACATTTGAATAAACTACATCAACTAATTATTCTGAATTAATAACTTTCAATTTATCTAAAAATATAATAAGAATTCTTTACTTTAATCTTTAAATATTCCAAGAACAGGTTTTGTCTCAGAATGAAAAGTAGCTAATCTTTTTTTTATTGTTTCTTCATTGTCATCAGCTCTTCCTGATGTTTTAGCTCTCTCCAAAAGTCTTTTAGTCATTTCAGCATCAGAACATTCAAAGTAAAGCAAACAATTTACATCCACTAAAGTAGCTAGAATTTTATTCCAAGAATCAATATTTTCTTAATTACGAGGAAATCCATCTAAAAGATATTTTCCTCTAAATTATCTTCTTAATAATTCCTTATATTTAAATTGTATAAATTACTTTTTTCATTAATTTAACAACAAGATCAGATGGAACAAGTTTACCTGCTTCCATAATTGATTTCAATTCTGCTTATAGAGGACCTTCTTTCTTTTATTCTTCTCTAAGTAAATCTCCTGTTGATAAATGAACATATTAAAAGTCTTTAGAAATCCGAGCACACTAAGTTCCTTTGCCTGAACCAGGTCCTCCCTTAAATTAAAAATATTATTTACTAAAACAAATAAGACTTCAGGTCGTTTTTATGGTTAAACACCTTTATTAGTTAATGCTTTTTTCACATTTTCATAAACTTCATCTGGTGATGCTTCAGCACTAACTTTGATAACCATATTCTTCTTCTCAAAATCTTATACAACTGGTTGAGTTTCATTCATAAAAGTGGCAAATCTTTTCTTTATTGTTTCTGCATTATCATCTGCTCGACCTGATGTTTCTCCTCTCTTTAAAAGTCTTTATTCCATTACTGCTTCTGAACATTCAAACATTAACAAAAATCTTGCATTTACAGAATTTCCAATTATTTTATTCCAACTTTACCAATTATCTTATGATCTTGGAAATCCATCTAATATATATCTTCCTGTATTTCCCAAAGATTCAATTTCCTCAAAATTATAAAAAACTTTATACTTTTTTGATTAACTTTACTAATATATCTGATGGAACTAATTTACCTTCTCTCATAATATTTTCCAATTCTTCAGCATCAGGTCCACCTAACTTAGTGTATAAAATTTACCTTTCTATCTTTCTGCTCTTAACAAATCTCCAGTACTTATATGCAAAAAGCAATAATCTTTAACCATCTTTTCACATTGTGTACCCTTACCTGATCCAGGTCCTCCCTATTAAAATAATATAAGAAAATACCAATATAAAAATAACTTCAGCTTTTGGGGCATTTCCAGGATTATTTACATCGGCACTCTAATTTATAAATTGACAGTTTTACATTTGAAGAAGAACAACCCATTTAAAGATATTTATTTTAAATATGAAATTAATCAATTTATTATCATTTATACCTCTAATTATTATTGCACTGAATTTTTCAATTGTTAATTATAATAATTTAGAATATACTATTAGAATGAAACACTATAAATTTGTATATATCAACTATTTTTATTATTAATTTTATACTTGATTAAATGATAATCAAACTTTATTAAGAGAAATATGATAAACCTAAAAATTAATATTGAACTCCATTTTTCTTTTGATATATATTTATTCAATATAATGTTTTTCACCATTCAAGGAAGGGATCATCTGCAGGTTTAAGGGCTGGACTTTAAGTATCGGATTCTGGATATGATGAGAAATTTGATGTATCATTAGGAGCTCTTATTTTAATTTTTTAAAGAATTACTTAACAACAGGCTTATAAGGAACTGGCAATTTCTTTTATATTAACAAATTCCAATCAAGATTTCCAAACCATCTATGACTTTTAATATCAGCAGCCCCTAGTTAAAATAATCTTAAATTAATTACCATTCTTTAAATTTCCATATCTTTTAGACAGATCTGCAACTAATAGATGTTTTACTAAGGATTTAGCATTTCTATATTATTCTTACTCAATACTTATCAAAAGATTTTGGAAACTTAACCTTTCCTTTAAGAATTTTCTGGTAAATTGCCATAGGATCTTCATCAGAAAAAGGATCAATTCCTGCATTCATTTCATATATCAATATGCCCAAGGTCCACCAATCTACTGCTTTACCATGTCCTTTATTTAATAAAATTTCTGGTGCCAAATATTCTGGTGTTCCACAAAGTGTATATGTTCTTCCTTCAACTACTTTAGCAAATCCAAAATCTGTTAATTTTAAGTATCCATCATCTGCTATTAATAAGTTTTCTGGTTTTAAATCTCTATATACAATATTTTTTGAGTGAAGATATTCAAAAATTGAGGCAACTTAAGAAGCATAAAAACTAAATAATGAATTTGTTTCATTTACCCTGCATGCTATGTATCAAGTCTTCCTATGCTTCTCAAATAAGTAAATAATTCACCTCCAGAAACAAACTCTAATACTAGATATAAGTATCTAGGATCTTGGCAGAATCCTTCGAAATTAACCTAAGAATTTATGAAAGAAAAGAATACAATAAAAGGATGCTGCAAGTTGCCCAATATGGTATTCTCATTAATTACATGATCAACTTGCTTTAAACGTATAATTTCAGCTTTCTTTAAACTTTTTAAGGCAACATATTTATTTGTTTATTTGTTCCTTGCCAATTTGACTCGCCCAAAGGAACCTAAAATTGTAATTAATTAATAAAGTACCTGTGCCAAGAGTTTGAAATACTTCATAATCTGTCAACTTCAGTTTTTTAGGTTTTACTAGAGATGTACTCATCAAAAGTCAAGATTTATATAATAAATAAAATATACACATATAAATTATTAATATTCGTATTAAAACTGAACTCAATCATTATTGAGAAAGTAAGTGAAATGTAAATGAATATGTCTTATTATACATGATAATAAAAATCATTAATGTAAAATTCCAATAATGTCTGAATCTCTAAAAATGAAATACTCTTAATCTGCCAACTTGATTTTCTATCCTCCATAATCTGGAAGTAAAACAACATCACCAGGTTTGACTAAAGTAGGCATGACATTTCCTTTTGAATCTATTTATCCTGGACCAGCCTGGAAATTTCTAGAATAAAATTCTTACTTCGACAACTTTTCCTACAGCTTATTTTTCCTCTGATGTTTATAAAAGGATTCCTGAAGCTGTTTTTGTGACAGGTTCATACTTTTATATTAAAACTCTGTTGAGAAGAGGTGCCAATTTCTTGAATTAAGATGCCATTATGAATCTACAAATTGAACTTAAATAAAATAATTATCAGAATTAAATTTTTAAGTACACAAATATAAATACTATTTTAGAATTTGCTAGAAAATTTGATCTCTTTGATCTTGTAAACTTATTCAATTTCTTTATTTTAAATGTATCCAAATATAAATATTAATGTATTCTATTACTATATCTATACTATATAATGATATTGATTTATTTATCAACCATCTCTTTAATCTCCAAATGTTTCTTAGGGTTCCTCTTCTCCTTAACGTCCTGATTATTATTACTTCTTTTTGATTCCTGATACAACATCATCAATTCTCAATAACATACAAGCTGATTCAATGGCAGTTTTGAAAACTTATCTAAATTGTTAAAGAATTAATATACTTTTTAACAGATAATGGCTCCCAAACATTAATTTCATTCATCTTAGCAATTTTTCCTGTATTACCATCTACTCCAAAAAATAATCCTCCAGTTTCACTATGTTTAGCTCTTAATTCTGTCAATACTCTAACAGTATCAGCTCCACAATTAGCAGAAAGAGTTCTTGGTATGATTTCTAAAGCATAGGCAACTATTAAATATATAATTATTAAATATACCAGCTTTATATGGTAATTGACCTAATCCTTCAACTTTATTGGCTTTTTCCAATAATCTAGCACTAACTTCCATTTCTACAGCTCCTCCTCCTGGTAATAATTTTGGATCTTAATAAATATTTTTTGCAACTGCCAAACAATCATGTAAATTTCTTTCCTAATTAATATTAATTTTAAAAAATACCATTTCATTTAAAACATCTTTTGATGCACCTCTTAATATAATAGAGCATGCAGTTGGATTCTAACAATCTACAAAGAATGCAAAATAATCATCTCCTATTTTTTTGACTTCAAATGTTCCACATAATGTACCAACATCAGTTTCTTATAATTCTTCTGGTCTATTAACAATTGTAGCACCTGAAACTCTTGCAATTCTTGTATTGTCTGTTTTTCTTACTCTTCTAATAACAGAAACATTTCCTTTTAATAAAAAGTGTTAAGCCAAATCTGAAACACCTTTTTCTGTAATTACAATATCAGGTTTGTGTTTCAATATATCATTACACATAAGAGCAACTTCATTAATTTCTTATTAAAGTGCATCAGTCATGTCTTATTCTTTTGTCATTTCCATATTTGTCATAGATTCACCTTTCTTATATTCCAATGTACAATCCAATAAAATAATTCTTGGATTTTTAATTTCTCTTCTCATTCTTGGATGAGTAACATCTTTATTAATCATAACTCCTTCAAGTACACAACTATCTTCTAGGATACCTCCAGGTATTTTTTCTACTTTTGCATATCTCTTAATTTCTAAATTTAATTTATTAATATTTCCTCCTCTAAGAACTATTTTTGTTGCTTATAAAGAGAGATCACTAATTAATGTTCCCCATCTAAATGCAAATTTAGTACCAATACAAGATTGTAATGCTTTCATTACTTCTTCTTTTTTGTCGGTATCTATTTATTGTGAAATCTCATCTAAAATTTTTACAGAATCTTCCAAGGCTCTGAAATACCCATTAACAATTTCTGTTGGATGAATATTCTTTTCAATGAATGGTCTAGCTGCTACCATCATTTCACCTGCTAATATGATAACTGATGTTGTTCCATCTCCAACTTCTTCATCTTGAGCCTTTAAATACTTAATTATTATATTATACTCTTGCTAATTCGATCATACTCTTTGCTGCTGGATGCTAAACATCAATCTCTCTTAAAATTGCATTGCCATCATTTGTCATTACAATGCCGCCCATTGGATCAAGTAACATTTTTAACATTGATCTGGGTCCAAGAGTAGTCAAGACAATATCTGATACAGCTTTGGCTGCCTAGATATTTCCTAATTGAGCTTTTCTACCCTATTCTCTTTTTGTGTTAGCATTAACTACAATTACTGGAGCTCCTTACATATATTTTTAAATATAAAAACTTTTAATGGATTTGATTATTTTCTTTTATATTTATCAATTCCTCTAGAAAACTGCAAATTTATTATATGAATCAAATATCAAATTTGCTTTATAATATCCTATAGACTATTTAAGGCTTTGATAATTTCAGCATTGATTTCAGTAGATTCTGGGTCCACTATAGTATTAGAGAAGTCAATCAATTTAATTTTAAAATCATTTTCATGACGATAAATTAATAATAAACTTGTACCTTACCATGAAATTACTTACTTACAATGATTAGTAATGAATTACTTTAGTGATTCTATCTTATCTATGGCTTCTTTCAAGATTTCTAAATAATTTAATAAATTTAACTTACTATTTCTATTTTTTAAACTAAAAAATATCTTAAGTGATTCAATTAATTCCTCTACAGATATTGTTCTACCCCAATGTTTATCTTTAAATATGACTAATTCATTATCTTCTTATATCTTCATTCCACAAATCCTTAAACCTATTTTAGAGGAAGTTGAATCTTGATAACGTTATATATGTGACTATTTATGAACTGTATAACCTAATTTTAAGTCAAGAATTCTTAAATTCTATGAATTTTAAGTCAAATTTTCAAGTAACAAATATTCTATATAATTGAATATAAATACTCGTATTATTTGGATTATATCTCTTAGAAATGAGAGAATTTAACCATTCTTATTATTAGTTAATTGTTTGCTAATTTGATACTTATTGATTTTTCTCTAGAATAACAACCCCATTATATTTAGAGAAGTACTCTTAATAACCATCTATTTGCTGAATCCATTCATAAAAACTAATTAGCTTTTAGAAATACTTTTATTCATTATTATTTTCTATTGAGTAGGACTTAGCTACAAACTCGCCATCATTAAGTTTAATAAATATAGAATGTCCAGAGATTTATTATTCGAAAAAAGCTTATTGTAATTATTATTATAAACTCATAAAAATAATATATAATCAAAATAAGTTATGTTTGATAAAATTGCGTTTTATTAGTATTGATAAAAGATATGACAAGTGTATATACAATAAGTTCAGATGAATAAGTGATATTTAAATAGTTATATGGTTTTTAAATTTAATGTGAATTTATTGGATGTTTAAATTTAATAGGATTTAATTTTGTTTTAGAAGAATGGCGATTATTATATTGAATTCTTTTTATGTTGTTTTTGTACTATTATATTTATTTTAAATTAAATTGATTGTTTATTTGATAAATTTCATACTAATTAAAAAAAAGAATAGAATAATGAGGGGGGTGCTTAAAGAACTATAAATATGTATATTGGGATTATTAATTCGAATGCAACAGAATTATATGTGATTCATAAATATTGTATTAAATCAAAGATATAATTTATTATTACATGAGTGCCTCTGAAAATGTGAGATATATTAAGATATAGAAAATAGGAGAGGGTGCCTATGGAATCATTTATAAAGCTCAAGATGTCTAGACTTAAGAAATAGTGGCACTGAAGAAATTTAAGCTAAGTGTATAAAGATGATATATTCTAAAGGATAATGAAGGTGTTCCTAGTTGTGCTCTTAGAGAAATCTCTATATTAAATTAACTCAATCATCCTAATATAATAAAGTAAAAAAATTGAGGTTTAATTTAGGTTGATATCTTAAATAATTATAAATAAGAAACTTCATTTGGTTATGAACTATTACGATATGGATTTGACAGATTATTTGAAGTTTAATCATGAGGAATTTCACCTTAAAGTATATTCACTATAAATTAATTAAGAATATAATTTATAAGATACTATTGGCAGTGGAATTCATTCATAATAGAAAAATTATACATCGAGATTTACAACCTAACAATATTCTAGTTAAAAATAATGAACCAGTCCTAATCGATTTTGGATTATCAAGGGTTCTTTCTCCTAATCTGACTCCAGGAGTAACTTAATTATGGTATCGTGCCCCAGAATTATTGTAAAATTGCAATACTTATGATTATGCAATTGATATGTGGTCTCTTGGATGTATTATTGTAGAAATTGCACTTAATAAACCTTTCTTTATGGGATCCTCTGAAATTCATTAGCTCTTACTAATTAAAAATATCATAAATGGAGGTATAAACTTAACAGCAACCTTTTAGATGAATGGTTTTTACACAATTCCCAATTTGCCAAATTCAATAATTTGTTTATTGATTTAATAAATGTATGTATTAGTCTAGAATTTCTAGAAATTATTATAAGTTGATCCATCAAAACGGATATCAAGTAAATAGGCCTTGTAACATGTATATCTACTATTTTTATTAATTAGCCGTTCTTTTAGGATTAATTTGCATTTATTTACAACAAAGAATGATTTTAATGATTAAATAATAATGTGTTTTTATTATTTTATGACAAAAATTAATTAATTTTAGAATTCTTTATGAAATTTTACCAATAAATATCAATGAGGATTATATTGAATTAAATCATTATAATCAATTACATTAAATTAAAATCATTATTATATTCTTAGTCATCTTAAAAATAAACATACAAAATTTAAATTCATTTATACTACTAAAACAACCATTTCTATATTCAAATATCAATATTGTAATTCCCAAAATGCCAACGACTCTTTTAGTATATGGTATAAAATAGTTTATGTCTTATGTGTTGTAAAAAAGATTAATTTTGAAATCCATCTTTAAATGTATTAAAACTATTATAGTAAAATGAATCAATTTGTTTAACCTTTTATTTAATTGGACTTACCTTTTTAGAATTGAATTTCTTAAGATGTTACTGAAATTAAATAAAAATAGTACTAATCACTTTGTTTATGAAGTGTAAAGAATTATACAATCTATTCAATTGATTGAAATAATAAATGGATTACAAATAGAGAATAATATATTTGGAAAGGTAATTTTATTTTTAAACATCAAAACACAATAAATAATTTATAGAAAATTAATAAAAAGCCATAAAATTATAAAAAATAAAAGAATAATTGATATTAGTAAAAGTAAAACATATTTATTTTATAATTTTACATTTTTTATGCAATACTTGTAAATACTTTTAGATCAAAATTTTTAATCATTTATTTTTAATATATAAAATAATAATTATAATAAATCAATGGAGTATTTCCTTACAAGATTTACAGTTTATGGAAATCCTTTTTATAATCTCAATGCTGGTAGAGATCATACTGATTGGGAGAATCAATCAAGATTAAGAAAGGCTTTGAGTAGATTTTAATAATCAGAAGGTAATTATTATACATATTTATTGTAGAGGGACAAGCATTACCTAGAAGATTTACAGATTAATAAGTTAAAGGAATAAGATGGGGATTACCAGTTGTTGGTCTTTTTGTAAATGATTATGTTAATAATTTAAAGTTAGGCAGATTTATTGGTGATATTTATTGTGCTTAAAGTTCCATATACATGAAGGGCATTTTTGCAGTTGTAGGATTAACAGTTTTTAATAAAATTGGAATGGATGTTATGAATGACAATGAAATCTCATATTGGACATCAAATTATCCAAAATTACCATCAGACATTCAAAAGGCTCTTAGTTATGGTGATGCAAGATACACTGGAAGATGGATTGATTGATTTAATATTGCAATAATATAAAAAATAAATAAAAGAGAAATATTGATGTATAATATATTTAGAGCCAAATAAGCCTTCAAGTAAAATCTAAATAAAACACCTTAATAATAAGTAAATAGGTAGTAGAATAGTTAAAGTTTGTATGATTAGAGGTAAGATTTTGGATTGAAATTTCAAAGCAATAATTCGTTGAGTGTGACAAAAAATAAAACCAATATTTCTACTACATTAAATTCTATAAATAGAACAACAAACTCTTTCTATGTTGATCCAAGAAGGGAAAAATTATAAACCTATACAATAGAGTTATAAAAAACTATAGATTCTGATTTAGGAAATAAATTTAGGTCAACTTTTCAAGAAAGTGGGAGAAGAAATAGAAAACTAGTAAGATTTATTATAATATCTTAAGAATACATCATATATACAATAAAATGAAAGACCTATATAACATAGTAAATCATTAATATGTGGAAAAAAAGAGATGGATAAGAATGATGAATAAATACAAGAGTATGAATGTTTATAATTAGAAATTTAAATGTTATTCAAGATGGTTTGATAAAAGAATAATTTTAACCAATTATTAATGTAAATGAAGATCTAACAATAATAAAGGAATAAGTGAATTCTATGTATAAGAATTTGGAACCAGAAACTTTTGAAATAGATGAATGGGATTATTAGGTAGATTATGAGAAATTAGAACTTAATGCATTTAGTTTAGATGAATTAAGATATTTAGTATAAGAATTTTAAAAGGAAGAATATGAAAAGAATTATTTATAAATGGATAAAATTTTATTGAAGAATAAGTTTTTTTAAAGATTTGGGTAAGGAATTAGAATAGGAATAATGGAAAAAGCATCTATGGAAATACATGAAGTTGGAAATGTTATTTTACAATTAGGTGCTAATAGCAATAATCTTTATGTTATTCTTAGAGGTTCTTGTTAATAGACATTAACAATGGATATACAATTATAAGAATATGAATATTTAACAGTTTAATCTTATTTTGATGGTTAAGATTTATCAGAAATCAATTTATTATAATTAAATAATAACAGAGGATATTCTGCAAATAAATTTATAGATATGGTTGAGGAAATCAAAGAACATCCAAAATTAAAAGGTATAACATCATATATAAAATTATTAAAGATATTTTAAAAAATGAAAGAACCAAATTAATTACTAGTCATATATCTTGTGCAGAAAAAACATATTTATTAAGAATGGATAATGATTAATTTTAAAAGATTTTGAAATAATCTATTGAAAAAGATAAAGAATTTAAATTGAGTATACTATCATAAATTAGATTTTTTTAACATACTTCAGCTTCTTAATTATTACATTTAGTAGCAGAATTAGGAATTCAAAATTATTTTTAGGGAGATTGTGTTGTAAGAAAGGGAGATTTATTAAATAGAGTAATTATAATAGCTTAAGGTGAATTTGAAATTGTAGAGGAAATACAATTAGAGAGAGAAACAAGAAATTATTATTTAGAAAATAAATTAAAACCTTTTGTTATTAAAAAATTCATAGATAAGAATACTAGACCAATGATTACTAGAGATATTCCTGATTAATCTTTTGATTTATCTTTAAATAACAATTAATAAGTTATAAGAAATTCAAAATGTTATCAATATTGTAATAAATAAATTAAAGGAAAGAAGAATATTACTTATACTCATTTACATGTATTAAAAACATTAAAAAAATGTGATGTAATTTGTGGTAGATCATTATTAATTTTATATGATAATGAATATGATTAAGAATAGACTAATAGTGCAAAGTAATAAATATATATATATATAAATAAATAGATTAACAGTTGTTGTTAAAAGTGTATAAGGAAGTGTATTCTTTTTGGATGAAAAACGATATTAAAATCTTCCAGAAAGTTTATAAAATTAAATCTTAGCAGGATTAAGGTCTATGAAAGAATTTGATGATTATGAAATAGATCATATAAGAAAATAAATAAAATCTTGGGAAAAATAAAAGTAAAATTTATATTAATAATTTATAATGGAAAAACGCAAAAATTCATATAAAAAATACTGATTATTATATTATTTTTAAATTAATTTAATCTCTATATAACTGAATTAATAAATATATATATATGAGTCAATTTTAAGCTTTTTTTTATAGAATTGAATTTAATTTGTCTGCAATTTTAGAATCGAGCATTAAATTTTGTTTAAGTTATTGTAAATCTATAGCTTAGGTTTATTATTCAACAATTTCATCTTATTAATCTATTTCACTATAATCATATTTTTCAATTGCATTATTTAACTATTCTTCAAATTGTTAGAATTCTGGATCTTCAATTTCTGTCTATTTCTTTGAAGGTCTTGTTGTTGATTGTAGATCTAAATCTTCAACTATTTGAACATTATCTGTAAATATTACACCTTCAGCTGTTCGTTTAATCCATGGTGCTTCTGGTTTATTTTCAACTACAGTTGGCTAAAATTGTTAATAATTCATTATACACTAATTGTTTCAAGTAATTTATCATCAAATTTGATATTCATTTCTGGAATCTCAATTGTTGGTAAACAAAAAGATAATCTTAATAATAAACTTTATTTATATTTCTTTAATGGTAATTTCACCATTGGATATATTGAACATAATCGATTATGTTATGGAAAAATGATGAATTCAGTCAATTTTGAAAGTTCAGGGTTTATTTCACTTTTAGGATTCTAATCATCCTTCAATAATTAAATAAACATTGATAGATGTTCTTAGATTTCTTATTATGCTATATTTTCATGTAATTATTCTAAATAATCAATTGCCGAATCTGTTTACCCTAAAAGTAAATGTATAGCAGATCTATTAAAATAGTATTCAAATAAATTATAAGTTCTATCACTAAATTCAAATTCTTCTAAAGGTTTACTTCTAAATTCAATCTTCTTTTGTGTTTGATTCAATTAATCTAAAATATATTAATCAAAATCATTAATCATTTCTAACTCCTTTCTTTATTGATTCTCTTTAATTTTATATGATTCTCTTAATGCTTATTAAGCATTCTCATATTATTTTAAATAAAATAAAAATAATCCCTTATAAAATAGAATATCTGATTTTTTGAATATCTTTCCTTCAGCTCCTTTTTTTAATATTTAATTAGCACATTGCAGTGCTTCTTAAAATAAATTCTAATCACTATTTGCTGTTGAAGTATTTTTTAATTACTGTAAGATATTTAAATCAACTATAGCATGGATTTCATTAGATTATTCAACTATTTTTTGTAAATCAAGCATTGAACTATTTAATTCTTTAATTAAAATGTATGTTTTGGCTCTATAATACAAAACTTACAAACTTTTTTCAGAACTTATACTATTAGAATAGGATTGAATAGCATCTTCATAAGCACCAATTTAAAAGAACAAATTACCTATGATAATATCAGTTTATGGATCAGTTTATTTACATTCTTTATATTTTTGAGCATCATAATAAGCAGTTTTCCTATCTCCCAAAGATAGAAATACTTTTGCTCTATTTAAATAGGCATCTACTAATTTTTCATCAAGATTGATTGCTATAGTTAAATCATTATGAGCAAGTTCAAATGCATTTCTACAAGCCTAAATCAACCCTCTAACATAAAAATGTTTTGCTACATGATCTTCTGATTTTTCTATAGCCTTATCTAAATCAACTAGAGATTCATCCAATCTACCTTATGCAAAAAGAACTATTCCTCTATAAAATAACAAATTAGATTGCTCATTAATTTTGACTGCCATATCCATATATTTAAGTGCATCATTCAAAAATTTATTTTTTTTTTCAATATCATCTTTAGGAATAAGATAACTATAGAATTTAACTAATGTTGTAGCTTTATAAAAGTATGGTTCCATTTTATTGGGCATTAATTTCTAAGCTTTTAAAAAGAATCCTTAAGATTATTCATATTAATTTGCTACAGCAGCAAGAATTCCTTCAACTATTAATTTATTGTAAATAGAAGGTTTTTCAAGTGAAGTTAATTGATTTAAATCATTAAGAGATTTTTAATATTATGATTAACAAAAGTATCCATAAGCTCTATATTAAAAAATAAGAGGCTTTAAAAAATCTGTAACCTAATGTTTATTAATAAGTGTTGTCAAAGCCTCAACACCTTCATCAAATTTACGTTTCATTAAGAAGGTAACTCCATCAGTAAATATTTTGAATTTTTCTAAGATCTTTTCATCTACATCTAAATAATCAGCACGACTTAACTGATAAAATGCTTCATAAAAGTCTCTTTATTCAATTTTAATTTTAGCAATTTCATAAAGAGACTTGGATACAGCTTTTTTTGAATTATTATGTTTAATTGATTACTCATATGCAAGAAAGGCTTCCTAAATTTAATCTAAATGAATATAATACAATAATTTTACTTCTTTTTGTACAAATAAAACCTTTAATATATAAGGCTTCAGAATCACAATGATCTTCCTCTAAAACAGCCTCAATGTCTAATAATGCCAAATCATATTCTTTTAAATCAATATATAACAAAGTTCTTTTAATAAGTGCTTATCTGAAAGAGGAATCCTCACATTCTATAGCTTGAGTACAAGCTTAAACACTTTATTTTGGTTGATTCATATATCTGTAACAGTCAGCTTATCCAATATATGCAATAGCCTTTTTTGGCTGTATATCAACTGCACTAGTGAAATCTTTCAATGCACGATCATATTATTTCATTTTCAACAAAAGTTTACCTCTATATATATAAGCATCAAAATATTTGTTAAATTTTTTGATAGCAAGTGTTAACTAATAATTAAAATAAATTTAGATACAGTATTTAAGGCATCATTTGGACAATTAGATTTTTTATAAGCAATAGCTAATAGTATGTAGGCATTTCTTTTATAAAGTGGTTGTTATTAAATCAATAAATTTAGATCTGCAATTGCTTCAGAGAATTCAGATTTACTCAAATAACATATACCATTTAAATATCTTGCTTCAGGATTATTACTAACTTAGAGAATGTCCTCGAACAATTTTTGTGCTTCTTCAGTTTGACCTAAACTCAAAAGTTTCTTGCCTTCAATTATTTCTTAAGATTTATCTGATGGCATTTTGTTGGCACGAGCTATTAATTAAATTTTAATATTTATACCTTCTGCATCCATGTAATCTTTGAAAGAAACATTAGACATGTTGTTAAAATGTGTAAAACATTCATCATTCTCATTTTATATGCTGTCATCTAAATAATATAATTGTATGAATCAAATACAATGATAATAACTAACAGAATGCATTTTTTTAGAACGATTCTTTACAAAACTATATTATTTAATAAGTTTTTTTGCCTAATACTTGCTTGATAAGTAATTATGGGTATCATTTAATACTTTTTTTGAAGGTTTCTATATTACGATTAAGATTTATTATACTTGTATGACTTGTTAAACCATAGATTTTGTTTTAGGTCTGTAGTTGCTTTCTGGTAAGAGATGGAAACTCCCTTGTTAAGCTTTAGAAGACAATTCTAGATAATAGACTTGTTGTTTTACTTTTGACATTCTATTAACTTTGTAATTTAAGAATCTAAGAATTTTGATCATTATCTCTTGACTTTTGTCTTGTCTTGAATCTACTAAATGAATTACTTTCTCTTACATTTTTCATTCTATCTATTGATATTATTATTATATTACCTCTAAATTTACTGTTAACTATTAATATAATTCAAAAAATTCCATTCAGAGTAATATTTTTTATTACACATATATTTTTATAAATATACATTTAAACCAGAATAACATATATCAAATATTCTTAATATAGGTTTCTCTCAATATAATATTCTATTATTGTATGATTTCTCTACAGAAGTTTTACTTTGATTATAAAATTAATTAAAAAATGGGATGCGGTTCAGCTAAACCATCTGATGTTAATAATCCTCAATAAAGTAATATCTTTAATCTATATATGAGTCAATGACAAATCTCAATTACGTGTAACATCTCTAAATTTAGTAACTGAAAAGATGGGACAGATTTCATAAGATTATCATCTTTTGAAACCTTCTTTAGGAAAAGGTAATTCTATTTTTCCAATCTACTTATTAGGTGCTTATGGAGAAGTTCGAAAGGGTATTCACAAATTGACAAATCAAACTAGAGCAGTGAAAATTATATCAAAAGATAAGGCTAAAAAAGCAGATATGGAACGTCTAAAGGAAGAAGTTGATATTCTCAAAAGATTGGTATGTTTCATTCTCTAATCCAAGGATCATCCAAATATTATAAAGATCTATGAATTTTATCAGGATAATAAAAATATGTATATAGTAACAGAACTATGCACTGGAGGAGAGCTATTCGATAAGATCTAAGAATCTAGTTCATTTTCAGAACGCAAAGCTGCAGAAACTATGAAATAGATCTTGAGTGCTGTAAATTATTTGCATAAAAGCAAAATTGTTCATCGGTACTTATTTGGTTGCAATTATTTCTAAAAGTGATATAAAGCCTGAAAATATTCTATATGAATCTTCTAAGCCTAATGCCTTACTCAAAATTGTCGATTTTGGAACTTCTCGCTTTTATGATCCAGATGTAAAAATGGATTAAAAACTTGGAACTGTAATTCTATATTTAATATAGCCCTATTACATTGCACCAGAAGTATTAGAAAGGAAATATGATGAAAAATGTGATATATGGTCATGTGGAGTAATTCTCTATATTTTACTCTCTGGAACTGCTCCTTTTAATGGAGATGATGACAACTTAATTATGGAGGCTGTAAAAAGAGGATTCTATTCATTTGATACAGAAGAATGGAGATTGATTTCAATTGAAGCTAAAAGATTGATATCAAAAATGCTTGAGAGAGATCCTAAAAAAAGGATATCTGCTGAATAAGCATTATAAGATGATTGGATTACAACTTATGTGAAAAAACCAGAGATAGATTTACCATAATTGACTAGAGTGTTAAATAATATGAAAAATTTTAATGTTGAAAAGAAATTTTAAGAAGCTGCTCTTACATTTATGGTCAATTATTTAGCAACTAGTTAAGAAAAGTAGGAATTATTGACATAATTTTAAGCATTAGATTTAAATGGTGATGGTAGATTAAGTAGGGAAGAACTAATTATAGGTATATTTTATATATATAAATAGGTTATTCAAAAGTAATGAGTTATTCTGATGCTGAAATAGAAGTTGATAAATTAATGAAATAAATTGATTAAGATGGAAATGGTAGTATTGATTATTCTGGTATTTAATGATTATTTTTATAATTTATAGAATTTGTTTTGGCTACTTTTAATAAGGTAAAATTAATAGAGGATAAAAGATTGGAATAAGCATTTAAATTATTTGATAAAGATGGAAGTGGTACAATATCTATTGATGAAATAAAATAAATATTTGGTTAAAATTCTTAAGTATCAGAAAAAGTATGGAAAGATCTTATATAAGAAGTTGATTAAAATGGAGATGGATAAGTAAATTGTATTTTAATTAGATCGAATTTAAAGAATTCAAAGAAATAATTGTTAAAGCTATTTAAAATACTAATGAAACTGATGATATCAAGAAATGAACAATCTTTTATATTTATTA